GAAGAAACGAATGAAACGGTGTGTGGCGAGGGGAGGGGAGTATATTGAAGGGGAGCATTTGAATTTAGAATAACTTTTATAATAAAACATTTTTTCGTAATCAGTCTCGTTATTTAATAGCCATACCTCGTATACATATAGATTATAGATAATATAGTATAGGACGTAGTTACCCGAATTAAATTTTAACAATATATCACTGATTTAAGCATAATAGGTGTACTCTAGTTCTAACATTCTTCCTGGTCAGTGAACACTTAATACGAAACACGAGTATAAGTAAGTATACATTGTTGCCTATACTTTATTGTATAGGACACTCCGAATTATTGCTAGTATATAGTGTTAATAGAAAATAATATTGGTCAAATACGACAATATATTACGAACTATCTAATTATCTATTACCCATTATCTTCCAATTTATAATATACTTGGGTATCGATGTTTTAGCGATATTTAATAATATTATAGGTACGACTACGATATAATTAGTTACTATTAATTATATATATAGGATGTTCTACGGTATTATCAAAATGCTAATAGCTCTATTGAAATTCATTTTTTTTTCAATCGGGTTTTGTGCAAGGGAGACACAAACGTAGAGAAATATTAAATTTGTATTTTCATCCCTTAATCACTGAAAAAAAAAATTCAAAGGTAACAAAATATTACGTACGAGTATCGATATCATCACTTAATTTACTTGGACGAAAAAGCTTACTTTACAATAATTGTAAGCAATCATATTATTTAATTTGGTTTTTCTGTTTCAATATTTTAAAACTTATACATTTCAATTTAATAAATTATTACTATTTGTAATTTATGTATTCAATCACATATAGTGTTAATTCTACAAGACCAATTATGAAAATCATATAAATATATAAATGATGAATAATAAATGTAAAATTTGACTTAAACATTTTATTACATTTTTCCAGATTAACAGCGACAATATAAGTATATTTCAATAATTGTCTACTGTGGCTATCGCAATAGCTCGACGAAGAGGACGCAATGGATTGTGTGCTATTGGTACCGCCTTGGTTAGACACTGGCTGACTAGTTTTTTACTAGGGTCGTTAATCACGTCGTTAGTGATATATTACACGGTGTTAAACCAAAAAAGTAACAAAAATAATATTCGAAAATTGCCGTTTATATAGTATAGTAACTTAAAGCGCATTTGTATAGTTCCTTTGACATACGAGGATACCAGCAATTATGGTGTTATCAAAGTACGAGAACATGAATCAACGTCAGAAGCAATGGAAAAAGAACTAAGGTTACTACGAAGACAGCTTAGTATGACTCAAAATCATTTACTAGCCGCAATGAAGACATCTCTATTTCCCGTATCACCAACCGAAGCACCACAAGTAACACCAGAGAGTCTCGCACCTTGTTCGTCACAAAAAGTATGTCAATTTTAGGTTCTGAGTGTAGTGAAAAAGCTGTTAAAACTTAGTAAACTATTGTTTTACATAAATGTGTTTTTTTCTTGGAAAACATTTTTTCAATCAGCAAAAAATTTCCGATTTTTTCAAGTTATACCTAAAAAAATAAGCATTTTTAATAATATTTCAAAAAAATTGTTTTTTTCCAATTTTCCAATTTTTTCACGCAGTAGATACACCAAATTATGCGGAATTTCTACTTTATTTAAAACATTTATTGATATTTTTTAACAGTTAATCTCTTGTCCTTTTTTTGGGGGTTTTTTCTTCGGAAAAATACTTGTTCGGTTAATAAGAAGACTCCTAAGAATTATTCAGATTGTACTTTAAAAAATGCGGATTTATCGCCGATTAGTACTTTATTTGGAAAAAAAATCTTGACTTCTGCAATGATTTATTAACTATAGCTAAATTAACCTTTGTAATATATCTTACCCCTACATGCAATAGTGGCCTACTCGGAAGCAGTAAAAACTTTTTAATTACAACATGCATTTCGATAAAACTTAATTCACATTGAAATTACTGGTTTCAGACATTAGACACTGTGAACAAGTGTGAAGTAATCGAAATAGGAATCGTGTGTGCTGGGTACAACTCTACGCGTTCAGTAGTCACACTAATAAAATCGATATTGTTTTATCGAAAAAATCCATTAAGATTTCATTTCGTCGTAGATGTCATTTCCAGAAAAATTTTAAAAACTTTGTTTGATACTTGGAGTATACCTCAATGTAAGTTTGTATAGCAAAAATCACTATATTATAAAGATTTGTATAATATTGAATTCGAACAAACGTTTGTTTCTGCAGTGGAAATCGAATTCTATTCAGCTGAAAAAATAATAGCCGATGTTTCATGGATAAATAATAAACATTATTCGGGAGTTTACGGTTTGATGAAATTGTGTTTGACACAAGTGTTTCCAGACACATTGAAACAGGTCCTAGTTTTAGATACGGATATTACTTTTGCAACAGATATTGCTCAGTTATGGTCGATGTTAAAACGCTTCAAAAAAGAACAAGTAAGTTTATACATTTTAACCATTTAAAAATATGTATATAAAAAATAAACGTCCATCATAATTCAATAACAAACATTTTGTACAGAGTATATTTATAAATATGTATAATGTAATAACATATTATAAAGTAGTGAAAAATTAGTGCCTCATCCAAATAGTGGTTGATGGATGCGCCATAGCCCCAGGCGTTGACCTGCAGTTTTATTATTCGTTTAAAATTGAAATATCGACTAATACCGATAAATACGTTTTTATTATTTATGACTGCCCGGTAATTTTGCACGAAATATAAGTCCGTTTCACATGATTCGTGTAGGTAATCAACTAATATCTGACAATTAAAGATTTTAAGTGCCGCCAGCTAGGTATTTATTCAAATTCATGACATGGGCCTATCACAGGTTTGTCTAACCTATAGAAATCACAGGTAGGGACACATTTAAACCTAGGATAGATACTATATAGCCACAAGGCCTAGATTTTAGTGCCACCTGGTCAAAATTTCTTAAAATATGTACCGATTCTCTAAGGGCATCGTGAACACTTTCCAGGGGCACCGTGACTCATAAAAATTATTTATAATTTATTGTATAATTTTTTTTTAAATTTTTGTTGATTTCAAATTGGACTTTATAAAAAATTGTATTAAGTTAGTTGAGAATGCTTATATTGTATTATATTCAGTAGAATTATAAAAACTGATTATCAATAAGAATTAGTGCTGATTTTTTTTATGTATATTCCTCGTGATATTCACGGAAAGGCACCGTGGTTGAATTTAATCCATAAAAATGCAACGCCAGAAAAAAAATTTGGAAACTGCTTCAGTGTATTATAATACCTATAGTTTATTTATTAAAAATGTATGAAATTTATTTTTATTTTACTGCGCGTACTAAATGATTAACAAATAAATTGTTTTTATGCACATATTGACGTAGATATTATGTTAATATGTTAGTTATTATGTCTTGAAAATACGTGATTGCATTATATCTACGCGTTATGCAAAAAAACAAAAACCAATTGATTTTTGTCCATACAGGCGTTGGGACTCGTTGAAAACCAAAGCGATTGGTATCTCGGCAAACTGTGGAAAAAACATAAACCGTGGCCTGCACTGGGTCGAGGGTAAGCTATTAAACGTGAAAAATATACAACTGTACCTAATATATAATAATAATACAACAAAAATACAATAGTAATATATAAAACTAAACATAACACGCATGCACGCGCATTTGTATACATAGCTATAACACGGGCGTGATACTGATGGACTTACGGAAATTACGTTTAATCGGTTGGAACGGATTATGGAGATCGGTGGCAGTAAAAACGTTAGTGACACACTACTGGACTAGTCTGGCCGATCAGGACATTTTTAACACGATTATCAAAGAACGACCGGAACTCCTGTACGCTATGCCGTGTCAGTGGAACGTGCAGCTCAGCGATAACACTAGGAGCGAACTGTGTTACGCCGAAGTTGTAGAGTTAAAAGTATGTGCATCCAAATGTCGATGGACAATAATATTGTTCGACATAATATTAGTTTTCTATAATATTAAATTGTGTAAACAAATTTACGCAGCTGGCCATAGAAAAATAATATAAAAATTTTCAAAAATAACGTAATAATGTTATAGTGATTTATGTTATGTACGAGTATTGTGAGTAAACCTTAACAAATAATAATAATAATTCGAAGAGAATTAATAATAGAACCCTTACTCTAAACCTACTAACGTAATCGTATTTTAAATTACAAATAAAATATAAATTAATCATAATTATAATACATAATTCAGAGGCGTCATTTCACATTTTTTCATGCAATGCAAAATCAATAAGCAGAGAAAAAAATCGAGGCTCTATGTAATCATTTTTGCGAAGTCTCAATAAGCTTCTTTTTTTTGTTTGCCTTTTTATCTTCTAATACCAAGCACTGATAAATTTTTACAATAAAATTATTCTAAATTCATTAATTTTTATTTTTATTTCCTAAATAATATCATGTGGAATTACTATCTAGCTATGATAACGACTAGACGTTGGACCTTTAAAAGCGCGGGGCTCTGTGCGCGTATACAACTTACAACGTCTTCAAGCCGACCCTGCCTCATAAGCATACTAAGCACGAAATCAATAATTTCCATATTTAACTTTATCTTTCAATCATCACATATCTACAAGTATTTTAAACAATCGCAATTCAATTACGAGTAGGTACCTTCATTTCTTGAAATTTAAACAAAAAAAAACTTTTCAGTATCAGAAGATACTGACATACTGTTAAAATTATAAGTGATAATAAAACCACTAAAAACATTTTTGTAATTTTACAAAATGAGAGTTTTAGTACTTAAATTATATGAAATTAACTACATTTACACATTTTAGGTGTCCTAAATAAATTTATGGAATGCATTTACATACCCTTACACCCCGCAAATGACGCCCCTGACACATAGGTAATTCTATTCATCCAGATCGCTTAAGTTTAAAACTTCAAATTTTAAAACATAATAATAATACATTAAAAAAAGTTTAAGAAGCTTACAAATGTATTGATTATAATTCATAATAATTGTTATTTTGATCAACTATAAATTAAAAATAAAATCCTTAATTTTCAGATAATTCATTGGAATTCACCAAAGAAGCTCAAAGTGAAAAATAAACACGTAGAATTTTTCCGTAATTTATATCTCACATTCTTGGAGTATGATGGAAATTTACTCCAAAGAGAACTGTTTGGTTGTAATTATTCATCTATTGTTCAAAATGTTCCTGAAGTAAGTGGAATTTTTATCTAACACTTTCTCGATTATACAAAATATATTTAAATACATAAAGCTTATATAGATACCTACGTACTATATAATAAATGTATAATATCTAAAATATATTAAACTCTAAAATGTATAGACTTATAACATAATTTAATAGATAATTAAATATTATAATTTAATTACAAATTTGAATATTAAAATATGATTCATACAATTTTTTTTTGGTAAACTAAAATTATTTCAATAATTTTTTAGATTAACGAAGACGATATGTGTTATGAATTCAGAAGAGCAGGCATGACCAGTTTAAGAACTCATTTATATTTTTTGGAATTCGAGTACGAAGCATCTCCGGACGAATGTGACATCACACTTGTTGCTCAATTATCTATGGATAGACTCCAAATGGTGGAAATGCTATGCGAGTACTGGGACGGTAAAATTTTATTTTGAAGCATAAGTTAAAAACAATCTATATTAATAACATTTTATTGTCGATTGCAGGCCCGATTAGTTTGAGTCTTTACATGTCCGATGCTGAGGCTCAACAATTTTTGAGTTACGCCCAGAATTCCGAAGTTCTGAAAAATCGTAGAAATATTGGATACCATGTAGTTTATAAAGAAGGGGTAGGATAAATATAATATTTAATGTCCTAATTTATTTGAATTTTTGAACAAATTGTACATTTGTTTTCTTTTTTAAAAAAATATATCAATTAATAATTAATAAACTTTTTAGGATTTTTACCCTATAAATTTATTACGAAATGTCGCACTTGAAAATGTCGTAACGCCATATGTGTTTTTATCCGACATCGATTTCTTACCAATGAGTGGTCTATACTCGTATTTAAAAAAATACATTTTTATAAAGAACATTAAGTCTTCCGATAAGGTATATATAATTTTAGTAAATCTATCAAGTGGTCCAATATTATCCGAGATTTAAATTATTCTAGGCGTTAGTTGTGCCTGCTTTTGAAACGCAAAGATATCGAACGGCTTTCCCACAAACGAAAGCTGATATATTGAGAATGTTGGATGACGGAGCTTTATTCTCGTTTAGATACCACGTATGGCCAAAAGGACACGCCGCCACAAATTATGCTAAATGGAAAGGATCAACTGTTCCATACAAAGTAAATAATTTTATAATTACAAAATAACTGTAGCTTTTTTAACACAGATTTTACGACTTTACGACATAAAATACGAGTATTATATCTACCTATTAAGCGATTTTATATAAATATATTTACTGTAGATGATATAATATAATCTGCAGTATATAATTTGATTTTCCAAATTTCGTACATGCATGGAAAATTTTAGATGTAACATTTCATTTATTTAATCTTGAAACCAATTTCTAAAGAACATTTTATAGAACAAATAACCAGCATTACGTAGTGCGTATATACAAGCAAATACGTAAATGATAATTAGGCGTCCTGTTAATTATAGTTATTGTTAATTATAATTATTTTTAGGTATCATGGGAACCAGATTATGAACCGTACGTGGTGGTGCGCAGTGATGTACCAAAATATGATACCAGATTTGTTGGTTTTGGATGGAACAAAGTGTCACATATCATGGAACTCGAGGCTCGAGGATACACTTTTATCGTACTTCCGAATGCGTTTATAATTCATATGCCACATGCGCCAAGTTTCGACATTGCAAAATTTCGTGGATCTTCTCAATATAGAAGGTCAGTGATTTTATTATTTTTAATTATTAACGTTAATCAATATTTACTTAAACCGGAATTACCGGTCGATTTTAATTTTATCAGAATTTTTGTTGATTTATTTACTATTCAAGAAAAGGAAGGACAAACTGTTCATTAACGATAGTCGAAATTGTTTAATATATTGTTACAGATGTTTGAAGATACTAAAAAATGAGTTTATCGAAGACTTGCGCATTAGATATTCAAAACGATTGAATCATACTGAGAGTTAATTAAAATTAAAAAAATTCTAATACAGTAGATACCGTTTATACTTTATAATGACACAGGTTGACGGTTGAATCCAAACAAAGTATAATCTAAGATAACAGATTACTTTTAATACAATGTAAGTTTAATTTTAAAATAATAAAAAACCTTTTTTTTAATTTTAATTTTTTCTGTATGTGTTGAAGTCACAATTTATTGATTAAATCATGGCACATTGATTGTAATACAATATTATGTTCATATAAATACCTATACATAATCAATTTTTTAAATAGTATTTTATTATTTTGGTTATAATGGCAATCGGTGTTATTATGACTACATTTAAGTAGTCCTTTGAATGTCATTATAAAAGGTTTCTACTGTATTACCTATGCAATATTTTACTGTTATGTTATATGAGTTTATAAATGAATGTGTTGTTTTTTTAATTTTATTTTTTATTAGAAATATGTGTTGGTTTCTAGCTCAATAGATTGTAAATTATCCATAGTATAATTTATTAATAAAAAATTGTAATTTTTAAATGTATTTATTATCGTTATATTATGTAAAATGTTCCTCTTTTGGTTTTTGACATTATAATTATATAGCTATATTTATGCAATTGGTCTGGATTAAAATAAATTAAGTAGTTCTTTTTTTTTTCTTACAAAGTGTTTTTATTTCTTATATGATTATAACTTTTTGTTTCACGGCATATGTCTATGATATTCTATGTAGTCCCTTGTCAGCAGGTGTGTTTTATCTACGGTCCTCTACGGGACAGTTGTTTTCAATTTTGGGATGTTCCAGCTGTAGAATGCATCTGGCACGAGCCAAGCAGCTGCATAATATCGCGTTTACCTATAATTTTAAAAATATCAACAGCTTGCAATCGCTTTAAGACCCCCGGTTCGAAATTCGAGAAGATTTTTATATTAAATTTCGGTGCCAAGTTAAATTTAATACACATTATATATTATATTATGTTCTATTGGATATACACTCGTTTTCAATCTGTTCGTAATGCAATCTGTAAGTAAAATATTTACGTATATTTGCACAAATTTAAAATATCTAATTTTTAATTTTAGTTTTAAGAAGCTGTCTTCGCTGAAATCAATAAAAATTAATAATTTTCATCCTGTAATTCCCAATTGGCACTAGTGATGTTTTACCACAATTTATAATTTTTATAATTTTATATTATCTTAATATATAAAACATATATTATTATAAAATCAATGCTACAACGGAATTTTAATACGGCAAAACTTATTTCCACAAAAAAAAAAAACGAGTTCCGGAAGATGACTGAGATATTATCGTATGTATAATTTTGAGAAATAATTTATCATGGTCGCACGCAACAGCAGCTACTTAACTATATTAACATTTTCACAGTGACCGAGTAGACGTCACGGTACAAATAACGTATGCAAATCTTAAATAATATAACCGTTTTATGCGTACCTATGTATGTATGCTTGGTCACAGGTATTTGTCGGACTTAATGTTATTACGACCATCATTACCGAAAAAGTAAAAGGTGAAACAAATATATTTATACAATATGTATAGCGAAAAATTATTCCAAATAGAAAAAAAATATAACAATTAAACTGTCGTGGTAATAATATAATATGATACGTTGAATTTGTTTTATGAATGTTATTATTTATTTTTTTTACTGCATGATCAAATTATATATGTATATATACAATTTATAAGCTAAAAATTGAACAATAATGATAAAATTCAAATTTCACTGCGGTTCATATGCATCATATTCCTTGTTCAATACATGGCAATTTAAATTTTTCATTATTTGAATTATTGAAATTGTTAGTATTTTAAATTTTAATACTCGGTTTACCGGTTTACGCCATCAATTCATAATAAATCGTCGAGTAGAAATATCCTCGGAATATACGGGGTTTGTATATTTTTATGATATACAACGTCAACGCAAAATTATAGTTCTTTTTATTTTTAAACAAAAATACTCTTTGTAATTCTCATTTTGTATGCGGTTCAAAATTTAAAAATAAACAAATATATTTATTTATTTTTTTGAAATTAATACGTATGATTAGTGAATATAAACGAATAAGTAAAAAATAAAATAAATAGCGCCGTGATTACTAAAGTTCTATAAAACAACGAATACAATATATTATACCTAAAAGTAATGACTAGCAAAGTAATGAGACTATAGGTTTATTTACATTTATTGAAGTAGAGGATTTATACTTCGAAGTATGTTTGAAATACTTTATGAATGGATTTATTTATATCTGTATTTATATACAATTTTAAAATTTTTTCTTACAAGGCTGAGTAGAGTGTGCGAAAAATCACACTTTAAATTAGATTTTCAAAACTAGGAAAGATAATAAATCGCGTACAACTTAAATACAGATAGTAAAACTCATAATTCATACAAATTATTTATACGGGTGCTATGTTTTTTTTTTAACACCGATGAATTTAAATCAGATTCACATTAATATTTATTGATAAAAGAACTTAAATTAAATTAAATTATAGTTACTCGAATAGACAAATGAATATGGTTTATATAGCAATGAAATATAATTATTTATTTTACTATACAGTGTCAAAAGTTTGGAAGCCGTCAGAAGAGAGCTAACCATAAATTAAGGAAATGGGAATATGAATGGAAAATTATGTTTTAAGCAAATAGGTAATTTTAACACGATATCTATGCAGCTCAAGTAAAATTGTAAAAACCGTATCGAATTTTTATTTCTTTAAAAAAATATACCATGTACAGTAAAACTTTAGCGCTTATATATAAATTTAATCGCATAAAATATCCATGTACCAACAAAAAACCATTTTTAACGAAAAATTATTCTAAGCGAAGATCAGTTAAGCATAATGTCTAGGAATGCCGTAGTTCTGTGATTTGTAGGTTTTATAAAACTTTAAACCAATACATACAAAAAAAAAATCATGATTACAGATTTTCAATATTTATATTATAGTCCCTTATGAATAATTTATGATAAACTTGTGTCAAATTATTATTTATTAACAAGAAGCAAAAAAAAAAAAAAAAATGCGACTATTTCAAACGTAAAATTATCTCTTGTCTAATAAGTGCTAATGCATGTGTTTTGTAAAATTTTCAGAGCTCTATGATTGCTTTTAATCGAATAAGAAAAAAAGCCGTAATTTTTACGATTTTCGTCAAAAATTTGATCTTAAAACAACGCTTATGAAGAAAAACCGATGAATTAAACTCAAATTTGTTTTTTAGTACAAATTATAATGTACCTTATGTTATATTTTCAAAAAATTTTCTTAAGTCATATAATTTTAATAACAGGTCCCTATCAAATAAAAATAAAAATACACAGTAAAACACACAAATATCAAATACCTATAAATAGCATAAAAATAGTTGGAATGTTTTGAAAATTTGACCACATCTACAAAAGGCTTATCTTTACAATATAAATAATACATAATAGTAACCGTTTATAATGGCATTCAAGGGACTAGAAAAAATTGGTGATAATAACCAAAATAATAAAATAAAACTTTAAAAACTTGATTATATATATGTATGATAACCACTTGATGTTGAATAGCAGTCGTATTTTTCGTCTTTTTTGATTTTTTTCAAATATCATGAAAACTACTTTAGATATGACTACCTCTGTCAGTGGCTAGAATGACCAAAATCGATCATTTTTTAATTGGAGCAAGATTTCTGGTAGAAAACACAGTTTGCAAAAATTAAAAACAATGGAATCGGTAACACCGTGCCGTAAATAATTGCCGTTTTACCAATTAAAATTTTCTTTCCGATTTTCCCCAATTATTTAAAAAAAAAAACCCTGGAAAATCAAAAAATGATTTCAAATGCATCAACTAGACAAAATATCCTCACAAAAAAGGTGCTAAACTCTATTCTTCTTGGCTATATGTCTAGTAGAAAAGTTGTTTCGGACAGAAAAAAAAAATACACATCATAGTAAAACCAATAGATCCCTCTCTACGTTCCGAATCTAAAACAAGTCGAAAATGATGGAAACCGTCATTGAGTACATTTTTCCGTTTTTCCCGATGAGGTTTCGTCGTTATTAAGAAAATCAAAAAAATATCTTTCCGATGCATCAATTGGATAATATTACTATAAAAAAATTATATTGTATTTTTTTTTTTTAAACTTGAGTAATATTCCTTGTAGAAAAGTTGTAAATAGCTAGACACAAAAAAGTAAAAAAAAAAAAATAAGACGTAACAATCGGCAAAAAACCATCTAACTACTGTCACGCGTTCAATAACAAAGCATTATTGTGACGATTGAAGTGATCACTCACCAGCACTACGGGTATAATAATGGGCTTTAATAAAAATATATTTTCAACGAATGAAAAATAAAGTGAAAAAAAAAATACGTTTACTATACGCACCGAACTTATAAATGGCAATATCGTTATATTGTATTAATATTAAACAGTTATACGATATACATATATAAGTATAACGATTATTATATAGAAGTAGCGATTAAAAAATTCAAACACGATCATAGTATTATTATATACAGGTATCGATAGTATTTAAAGACTGTATTTAACTCCGACGATAAATAATTAGCGAGTGTATATGCGGCGTCCGGTTAATTCCAGAGAATCAACTTTACTGATCCACGTGCCTATGAGCTTGTTGAACACCTGCATAACTGGATTTTCGTATTGATCAAACGCTGATATAATAGAGTAGCCGAATAAATAACCACTTTAGACAATATTTTTTTTTCTTCCTCGCGTTAATTCCATTTTTATTACACCACACGCTCGTGTTTCTGCAATGTTTTTATAAGAATATGTTTAAGTAGAAAAAAACCGGATTCGATATACGCATGCGCAAGCTGATCACGAGCCATGCACCATCTGCTCCTGACCCGGTGTACAGGGACGGACTTAAACTGGCTGCTGGCGCGTGAATGTGCATTCAGTTTGAATTTAGGTGTTCGACTAAGAAGACAAACGATGTTTCTGTTCGTGATAATCGTGTCTGCGTTGACGTCCATGAGTCCCATCGGGGCCCGTGCGGATCTCGATCAAGAAGACTTGAGAACGATCAAAAATCAATTGAATTTGCTAATGGAAAAAAGACAACAGGATTACCAGCAGTTGGAAAAATCACTCCACGAATCTTTTAAAGGAAACACGGACCTGGATTCGTTGAAAGAAGAAATTCAATTGCTCAGGTAAATAATTAAAAACGTGTTTTTTTTATATTTTTAACTCAATTAATTAATTGAACAGTCGTTTTTATTTAGAAGAGGTAAATTAAACGTAAGACCGATTATAGTATTTATGTATGTATTTATTATGGACCTAGATCCAATAACAATAGGATTGCAGTATTACATTTAAAAACCTATGACTAAGGGACACACATTAAAAAAATGAAAAAGATTGAGCATAACATAGGGATTAATAAAAATATATTAACAAGAAAAATAACAATAGGAATAAGAGGAATAAAAATAAAATATAAAAGATAGTTAATTGATATTATCTCTCTTAAAACAACAATAAGGTTTATGAATACAAATCAAAATCAATAAGGACGGAGTTACCATTACGTAAAAAATTATTCATTGAGAAATTAAGTATATAGCTGAGGGATGAATGAGTAATACTATGTAAACAGGAATCTCTTGTATTATGGACATTGACTTTTAATTTTATAAGACTATAAATATATATATATACTTATAGTTTATTACATATTTTATTTGGTTGTTACCGTAATGTGTCTAATATGTATTATATACTTTTTTTTTTGGAATTTTAATTAGAATTCTTACAACGCAAAATTTGCATTAATGATTTTCAAAATACCTTGAATAATTATTAACTATTATGAAATAAATATTTAATGAAGTGTGCTTAAACAAATATTTAGATAAAATTGCAAATTTAATACGCATAATACATATTATGATGCGTATTGAATTTTTTACAATAAAATTAATTTTAATCATATAATGTATTGATAATTATTCTGTCTACAGTAAACGATAAAACTTCCACGTTATAATCCTCGATCCTCTTATAAGACTACCCATTAATATATATTTCAATAACTCATAAATAAATGAATTGATTAATTGATCGAAAATTGCATTTGTTCAGTGTACACATAGTCCTTAATGATAAAGTAAACACGGATCCTTTTTTAGGACAGAATATTATAATATACCAGCTACGTATATGAAAACGCATCATACATTTGAATTATAACTCGCATCTAGTTTTCTATAAAACGTTTTCGTTACTAACTTTTTATTTAAAAAACTTTAAAATAAAAAACATACCTACCCATTTTAGGGTATATAGTAATAATCTATACATAGTGTTAATAATATTCAAATTAATATGGTCGTATAAGCTGCCAAAATTATAATAACTTACAAATTATAATTAAAACTTAAAAAGAGTTTAAAAAAAATAAATATAATAATTGTTACCTGCAATCAATCGGAGTAATATGGTGTTTATTTACAGCCGTTATAAATTTCGTCAGTCTTGGTTGTACAGTTGTTCACCGATTGAAGTGTTTAGTTATCCTGATTGTCTGGATTTAATTAGAATTACAAAAAGACAAATAGCGTGAAATTAAATGTTAAACCAAGCCGTTAAAATCGTTAAAAAAATTCCACTTGCCTGGAGTATTAGTATTTTTAGAAATGGTTTATTGGCAGACGTGAGAGTTATTTACAATGTGTCACGTTGTTGGTTCTTAAAATGAAAATTAAATGATTATATTATTAAAACGTAAATAAACACAACTTTAATATTTTATTTTAAACAAAATTATATTCTGTATAGATCTGAATTTAAAAAAAAAAATAAACGATTTTGCCGTAAAAAAAACCTCGAAGTTTTTTGTCGATATTTACCTATCCATAAAATATAAATTATATTTTAATATTATCGGTTGTTCTCATATATAATATCTGTCGAATTTTAAATATATTATTTAAACACTGCTATAATTGAATATTTAAAAAATAAATTGCATTGCATCTAGTAAATAATTTGTCATGTCACAATATTAATACACTATTATAAATCGTGCCTAATATTTTTATCACACAGTATAATGTTAACTAGTGCTAGAATAGAAGGAACAAAGTAAAAATTATTTTTTATAGTTAATATTTTTAATTTTTAACGTATACTCCGTCTAATTTCTCATTATGGACACAGAACCGTCGTTAAGAAAAATAAATAGATAATCTGGTGTGATTAAAAATTTGATTACTTTAAATAAGTACCAAATTTACGAACTTCAAAAAATGTTTTTACTCGTTTTTTTGTTTATTGATAAGTAATGCATCTGACGGTAATAATACAACGGTAATCACGTAATAAAATACAAATTAAATAATAACTAAGAAACGATTAGTTTTGCCGAATTTAAAATTTAAATATCGTTGAATTGCCTACTCAGTGTTCTATAATTCCAAATTTGGAGTTGGTATCACTTACCCTACCTATTTTCGGTCCTGAATGTATAATTAAGAAAATTAAATCGTATAAGGTTCACACCCACGTGCATGCAGTTGTGCATCTCTCTTATATTTTTTTTTTCTAATTCAAATATTGAATTATTAGGTAATTTAATTTGTAGACTATATATTGTGTAAGTTCAATTTAATATAGGTAGGTAGTAAACATTAACCAGTACGACCAAAGTACATTTAAAATGTATAAAAACACATACCCGGTTCAAATCAAATTACATAGAGTACACCATAGATAAAACTTATTAAACAGTTGTTTGAAAAAAAAAAAAAAATCAAATTGCATTACGTTCTGCACCAACTATTTTTACTATACGTAAATACGGGTAGATGTTACACTATTATATAGTGACTTTACGGTCCGTTTGTTTTTAAATCTCGTTTGTTTTTTCATTGATTCAATTTGAAACGATTTGTCCACCTATAACAGAATAATGGTTCGAAAATTGACAATATTTGTATGCCAGCTCATTACGAGTTCGTTTAATGATTAATGATAATATACCTAGGCGCTCATGTGGCGGATATAAGTATATAACTGATATTACTATAAATACATTAATCCTAATCGTATGTATTTAATTCGATTTCTTCGCACTTAACATTTAATTCTGACATTCTGACATAATTGTCCCTTTTTTTTTTTTTTTTTTTCCATAACCGAATAAAAACCTATTCGAATCGTTTCAGTAGTTCAACTATTCGATGGCGACCAACTCCATTTAATACGCAAGTCCGATATAGTTACTGTTCGGTTGCACGGCCGTCCCAAAAAATAATAATTATCGTACCTATTGTGTTTATACACCTAGCCGCCTTCGTTTTGAATAATACGAGATTGTATTATATTTTATTCATAATTCGCGTTATACTATTGTTTTTTTGTAAAGGCGCAGTTTAACGTATAGGTAACATTTTAATATTTACATATAGAATGCGTATATTATTAGATCGTGCGTATTACATTATACACCTATAATGCAGTATACACGGTGTCCGGATGTTCACACATTCGCGTGTTTATTTTTAATTGTTAGACGAGTTACACATGCGGATTCGTTTTGGGGTTATGGTCGGTAAAAAAAAAAAAAAATTAAAAAAAATAAATACACACGATATTATTATTGTACCATTATAATATTATATCGTGTTATTCACAATGATTAAAACGAATAATGTATGCATAGGCTTTTCGGTATAATATGTAATTACGTTAAGATTATTTCGGAAACGCGACTTCGGGTGTAGGTATACGTTTTAGAAGTATATAATGCCTCATTAAGAACGCCCATACGTAAGATGTATATACCTACATGTGGGCTGTTGCGCGTAATAACATAATGTAATAATTTAAAAATTACAATTAAATTATACACAGTATAAACAATAGAGTAACTCGTATTGAACATAATATACAATTGTTTTTGTTTATACTATATATATATATATATATATATAGGGAAGAGAATACGAGGATGTCCCATTCCGGCAGCGACGGAATTCGCGACAAAGTGGCCGTGGGATGGCTGAAAGAGGTGATCGAAAGCCTGCGATCGGAAATGCAAGCGGTGTGGTCGGCCATCAACGAAACGGCGCAAATACACAAGACCGTGGCCATACAAAACGATCTGCAAGCGCTGCGGAAGGACTTGGATTCCGATCGGAAAGACTTGCAAACAATGCAAGGAGAATTGTTGTCGGTCAGAAAGAATTTCGAAGACATGGCGACCAAACATTTCGAATTGGAGAAAAAAATCAACACCGTGGCTAAACATCAAAACGTATTCGAAAAAGTAAGTAGACAAGTAGTACCTATTATATTATACCCGCAAACAAAAGCATAAAGCGAAAAAATCTTAGTATATAATATGCATACGAATAAATTTTCCATCGGCTATTTTAATTGGTACTTTGGTGAGAGTAAATATATAGTTGGTTATAAATATTTTTCAACCATCGACTTTATTAATCGTTCGGCCGCCTATAATTATACAATTAATATAGTTATTGTTGCACGTATTATTTTTTATAATAATATAGTGATGAGATGTAAATCCGAGGTTTATCCGAAAAATCAAAATATCCGGATTTCAGCATGGAAATTCCAAAATTCGAGTTTTTAATTGATTTTTTTTTTTTTTTTTGAAATAATAGCACTTTTTCTGAAAGAAAATTTTTTATCTAGATGGTACTACTTTGATTAGGTAATTTTTTTGATTTTCAAAACGGTTATCGTAATAATTTGGAAAAACGGAAAAATCTATGTACACGGTACACGTGTAAAAGAAACTTGGCTCCGAATCGTTATTCATTAGAAATGGTCAATCGTTGCGTACAGATATAAATTAAATTTCCCTCTATATCCTACTTTCCCAACTTCTCACCTACGCTCGCCGCGAAATTAAAACGGACAATGTTATATTATTTATTTGTCAGCAATCGCGCGATATTCAAAAACGTCGAGTCGAAACGTGGACAGCGATTATAACAATACAACGCGCAACGAAACGCTTCAATATAGGGGAGGGGTGTGGGGGCGGGGGAGGGGGCACGAAAATACCTTGATATAATTGCTCGACGAGCCATATGGCATATACGGGTACGCGACTATAATATACGTATACGCTTACGGTGTACAACATTCGGATAGTGTCTGTGTGTGTGTGTGTGTAGGGCCCCGCACATTTACCAAATGGCGTTTTCGGCGGTTTTATATAATGGAGCGCCGGGAATGAAAAAACGCTGCTGTTGTTGCCGCGCCGGGTGTTTGTAACACGGCGGCGTATACGTATTGCGGTGCACACAAATAATAATAATAATAATAATAATAATAATAATAATAATAATGATAATAATAGGCGACCGGAGCCGCCCGATTGCGCGGGCGGTAACGCAAAAATCGGATCCAAAGAATCGCAATGTAATAATGTTTTTTTTTTTTTTTGTTTTGTTTTACAGAAAAGCAACGAAAACGACGCGAAAAAGACCACGTTCAACAGCGTTTACAAAGTAAGTGCATTGACGCGCTCACGCGTAATATTATTGTATGTGCGTACGCGCGTAGGAACGAAATTAAAAAATTATATCGAGGGTAGGGGGAAGCGGTACCGGTCAATTTTTTTTTCTACTCAAAAACGCATTGTTACGCCTCGTTAAACGGTTCGATGTCGACTGATTATAATTTTGTTTTCCTTATCCGGACAGAGAAATACTTCCTGTTTAGCCCGCTTTGAACACGGTTTTTCGATATAAGTTTTATACGCGTTTAATAGTAAAAAAAGTCGATTTTAAGCTTCGAAAAAAAAAAAAATCTTTTAAATTAACAAGCAGTTATTCCCGTGATGAAATTCCGTATTCACCAGTAGAATCTGCAGCAGTAGCCCATTTCCTCTCTAAATATAGATAGTGGGTCATATAGATATTAGGACGGTCATTAAAATGTTAAAAATTGGACACAATTCGGTAAATCAGACAACATGGTCCCTTCTTAATCTTTAAATTTCGTATCAATATTAATATGTTGGGGTGTTTTTCTCCCCTAAACAGCGAGTGACGTTTAACGACGACAGCAACGACATCGATCCTCTGCGCACGAACGTGATCACCACGGTGGTGACGGACCAAGAGGCGCGGGAGCTGGAACAGTTGGAGTCGTCGCGCAAATCGCTGGTGCACCGCATGACGCGGCTAGAGAAGCGCATCAAAGGCGTGCTATACAGGGAAAGCGCGGCGGTGGAACGGGAAAACCGACTGTCCCGGCTGGAGGCGGACCTGAACGCCACCAAGGAAGCGCTGGCGTTTAACGCCACGCGTCAAGACGCCACGCAGGACCGCCTGCACGGGTCGTTACTGGAGCTACTGGAGAGCGTCGAAAACCTCGACGACCGGGTGGACGCGTGCTTGCCGGAGGTGCGCAAGGAAATATCGAAAATCGAATTCACCGTGGCCCGGATTAACGCGTCGGTGGCCATTATCAAGGAAGACCAGGTGAGCATATTGTTATCATTAGCGTTGTCCGTGCCGATTATGTATAGCGACAGACGACGTGTGCGGTCCAAATACATAATATACGCGCGCGCATGTGTGTGTTTGTATGCACATGTATTTGACGATATTTTTGTACGTCCCTACAGAACAACCAAATACTGACGACCAAAGCCCTCGGTGAAGGGATGTCGGCCATCCAGCGGAAAATCACGAAATACGCTGACAAACAGCCCGACACGACCGCGACGACTGCTCCCCGAGTGAGTACATTTACTGTAATATTATTGTTTACTATAATCATAATATGCGTACAGCTATACACAAAATTACCAAAATATTTTGTTCGATTTGTTTGTGTGTTTAAACCGTTATCCACTGCTATGCGTAATGAATCACGAATAGAAAAAAAAATTTTAAAAATACAGTAATTAATGTTTAAGGTCGTTATATGGTCGGCGTTAAATAATTTTTGCTTATAAGTCGAAAAACGTATTCATATTCGTACTTAATCCAATGTAGGTATATGGACAGCTGCAGGAAAGTATTTAGGGGGCATCCAAAGCCGTCACATTTCAAAGAGGCGTCATAATCTTGCGTAGTAAAATAGGGGTTTTTATTTTTAACATCAACCCCGTCCCACAGTTTACACTTATTCGAAAGGGTCTTAAATATGAATATGTTTTAAAGTCCCAAGTATACGGTAGAAAAATGCAAAATGTGCAGTTCAAAATTCCGACGCGTTACAAAGAAAAAAAGCTGTTCTAGGATAACGGGGACGGGTGCAGTCACTGTTATAGGTAATTTAATGTATACCTGTAAGCAACGATAAACCATTGGTAACGAAAAAACGATTCTGATCCGAGTTCGGTTAATAATGATATGCGTTAAACATTTCCTTTAATAACATTTGTTTCATATCGTACCTATCTTCCCGTTTTCCCTCTATACGTTTCGCACATTTTCCCGTTTCGTTTGATTTATTGAAAAAACTCCTGAGAAAATCAAAAACCCACCTCCTCAAAGTATCTCCCCGGTCAAATTTCCTTTTGGAAAAAGAGCCATCGTTGTATAAATCGGAGCAAAATCGCTGGTAGAAAAAATTGTCCGCGGAGAAAAATTGAAAAAAACTCCATTGTAAAACCAATACATTCCTCGTTCCGCTCGGAATCTGAAAAACGCGTTCTCGCGAAATGGCGTTAAAAACGTCAATAATAATGCACATAATGTATACATATAAATATTGTACGTCTGCGATGGGCACCGTATTCTTTGCCCATTATTACACCTTTCGTATAGCTACTCTGTATACATGGTCGCCTGCAAGCGGATTTTCGTTCGGCTGTAATACAGTAGTATTATACCTTTATACGGGTAATTTAGTATTTTCTCCGGGCGAATAATACAGTATCGGGACGAATACCCGTCGCGGTTAAACGGTCCGGGTTCATTAATATTTCGGACGTGTGCCGCGCGCGCGCGCGCCCGCCTTTATAGAGTAGCAACGATTTCGCCGAATATCGCGCGCCGGCGAGGAAAAAAAAATTAGAGAAAAAAAAAACAAAACTGGTCCACGTTATAAAAAACATCGCGGGTGCTTCGTGTTTTATACGCGCGCGCACACACCGGTGCCCGGGCGGCGGAGTTATAAAAACGTCGCGGGAGACGATATTCGGGGGCCCCGGAGCGACGCACACGTTTACCCGTCGGCGGCAGGTGGTTCGTGTTTTATTCGGTCCCGCGCGAGCACGGGGACGAGGTCACAGTCGTCGGACCGCAGCTACAGTCAGGTGCTAGTCACACCTGCCCGGTTCCATGTGTCGGACGCGCCGGTGAGCGGCGGCCGTGGCTCGCTGTGTGCGTACGAGCGCGCACGTATGTTATTATTATTATTATTATTACGGCGACGTTCCTGTTGTAATAATACGGAGAGCGACGGAAAACGAGACAAAAAAAAAAAAAAAAAATTACGCGATATTTCCGCGATAATAGTATAATAATAACTATCGCCGTCGTCGTTATATTAACAATAATAATACAAACATTTCGATAAAACGGAAGTCGGGTCGCACTATAGTGTACGCTGCGCGAAAAACGAAAAACAAAAAAAAAAAACTTTTGTTATGGGCGTTTTAAAACAATATTATTGTTTCGGGGGAAGAAAACCTGTTTGTACATATTATGGGTACGGTTACCGCGTGATTAATATGAAGAGAGAGAGAAAAAAAAAACAAATACCACAATCGTATTTATACGTCATTGTATACGCAATGTATTGCGCACGTCATATTATGACGCGGGCGGACAACCGAAAACAATAATTAAACAGTCGAACACGGTTAACCTACCTATAGGTACCCTGAACGCGGTGTTTATGTCAAACAATTTTTATTTAGATTTTTCATGCGCGATTCCGGAGAGCCGGGACATTTCAAAAGTACTTACTTTTCGCTATACCGGGCACGCTCGTAAAAAATAGCAGTGCAGCTGCGGATATTGTGGGCATGCATTATGCATTGACTATATATGTAAATAATATAATGGTTTAATTGGACAAGCATTATATTGCTTTAGGTTTTGAACAAAGTGCAGAGGAATGTATTGGATTTTTTTTTCCATCGTGTGTATCTGTAAACAACTTTTCTACCAGAAACCGTATTCCAATCGAAAACTTTATGTATAGCAACTTGTAGCATTTTTTTTTATTATCTTGTTCGGCGTGCCGGGGCTGTGGATTTTCGATTTACCTCGTATTTTTCTTAAAAAATCGGAAAAACTTGCAATTTTGATCGAATTCCGGGTTGCCTTTGCAACAAGCGAAAAACTACGACTAACATAATACTTTGTTCAGAATTGTTTTTTGTTAACAACCGTTAATCGTTGCATACAGATATAAACTAAATTACTCTACATTATATCCTCCTTTCCAACTTTTCTCCTACAACAGTGGCATGCCCATGAGCAGTATCAGTCTTTTTCAGTTATCGAACGGTTTTTTTTAAGTACCTATACTACGTCCTACGTCTTAATAACTGCAGTTTATTATGGAACACAAGTATGATAAATCGAAATGATTCATTCAATTGACCTTTTTTGAATAGCGATATTAATATAGAAACTGACAATTATTCCACGCTTACAATGCTATTACAATATCACTACCTACCCGTACAATTTATCAAATGATAGCCTCTCAATTTACCATCTATTATTATAGATTTTTTTTTTTTTTTAATTACCGACACAGCATTCAATTGGTATTTTTTAATAGACAATCATAGGTATCTACTTGTTATTTAATTCATTAATATTGGATAACGCGACGGTCGCAAGTAGACAAATGCATATTATACAGGTTTCTAATTAAATTAACATAGTTTTACTATATTATTATAAACATCAAAATCGAATAATAAACGTATATAAAAAAATAAATACAAAATGTCTGTATAAAATTGATTTTCAATCTACAATGAAACCATTGTTTTATAATAGACGAGAGAAAATTGTACGGAATGCACGGGTATAATCGACGAATTGGCCACATTGCAAAATTCATTCGAACGAATCGTCGACGGTCTTCCCAAAGGTATGTATACATGTGAGAACTATCCCACATTTGTCAGTGTGCACCCAACTATAATTATAATAATTTATGTACCCACTGATTGTATTATATTAACATTTAAATATTATAATAATATACGCGCAATTATTTTCACATTTCATTTTTTTTTTTTCTAAAAGTTTTTTTTCATTTGCTAGTCGAAACAATATATTTTAATGCCTGTAGGTATGAAATAAGAAAAAACTAGAAATACAATGCCTACCGTGCCTGCGTCATATTATATATTTTATTAGATATATAGGCACACTGTTCTAACTCGGTTTTAAAACCGATATTATACCATCATACACATACAGTTTAGTAAAACGGTCAATTTTTAAAACACTATAAACACGTACGCGTATATATAGGTATAGGTACTCGTTATATAGTATACTATTTATATATGTATATATAGGTACTTACATAATAAAGGATTATAATAACAGTAGACGTAATATAACGTCGAAATGAACTCAACCTGAAATTGAAAAAGTCCGTTAAAAAATTCTTGGACCGTAAACTATACGTAGGGTTGCTCGTACCTATGTACCCTGGCAGTAAAAGTATTTATTTTTTTTTTTTTTTTGCTCGTTAATTATTTTGATCGGTTAACCATATCGGATATTATATTATATATTATACGACTGCTGCAGGTGGTTTTTTTTTTCATATTCATCCGGTTATACCTAAGTACTATTTCATTGTTTCCGTTTCTGTTATAATAATATTATGTTGTAGTCCGGTAGTCGTGTGCACCTATAATACCTGTATGCATAAGAATAAGAACACACAATGTTAATTACTAGGCACTATATAATAAATATTATACTCGACTAAAATATACAAAAATATACATATAATATTAAATGCTTATTTTGTAAATCCGAATAAAAATTAAATTTATAATAATTACTCGGTACAGCTGCTAGATAGGTATATTTCCATAAACATATTATAGTACACAATATTATCGAAACGGTACCTAGTATAGAACGAGTAAACATATAATTGATGGTAGTCGACACCAAAGACCTATAGAGTGCACAGGCGCATATTTTGTATTCACAACGATTTTTGGTACGAAAATGTCCCGCGACGAAATTATTTTACCGACATTTTCTCGTTTAATTGTTATTCAAGCCGATTTTCCTCCGATCAGTCCGGTCGATGTATAGTGAAGCGTTAAAAACTCTGAAAAACTGATTTAAGTTCAACGTCAAGTGTACGCCGAGATCGGTTTTGGGCCACATTTTTCAATTTGATTATATATTTTTTTAAATGCACATTTTCAAATCAAATATTTGGAAACTAAAGACTGAAATTATTCGAAGAAGTAGCCTGACCGATCTCGTATATATATATAACACATCTGCAGTTCACGCTGAAATCAAATTTGTTATCGAAATTTGTCTACCGTTTAACTATGCATCGATCAGATTGACTGAAGGGAAATTATAAATTGCACTTTTTTTTTTTTGTGTTTAGTTAACACTACGGAACACTCTTCGAATATGAAACAAAAATTATTGACAATATTATATGAAATAAAAATTACGAAAAAATGTTTTAAAAAAAAAAAAACTATAAAAAGAAATATTCCAATCAAATTGGCATTAATGCTTTTGTTGTTAAAATTGTTAACGTGGTGTTTTTTCCCCTAGATTGTTCACAAGTTAAATCGTCGGGAATGTACCTCATAGCGCCGGGCGGAAAAAGTCCACTGTTCGTCCATTGCGATATATCGGACGGTATGTCCTGGATTACGGTACAGAAAAGAACTAACGACGGTCTAAAATTTAACAATAATTGGAATGATTACGCCAAAGGATTCGGAAGTTTATACGGTAAAAAAAAAATAATCATTGTTGCATATTTTAATTTATCTATAGGTAATGGTTATAATATAGATTGTACACGTCTACACAACAAAATCAATATGATGCGATAATTGGTTATAACTATATATTTATAACTAACCGTTCGAAAATAAATGAGTACCCGATCTATTATCTCGGTGTAATAAAATTTAATGTTAATCGTGACGGAATGGATATATGTAAAATTGAATAGATACCCTAGTCGTTAACCCCCTATAATGAGTATACGCGCTGAAACATTCATTCAAGCCGATCGAAATAAAAAGTAAAAATAAATCAGAATTATTTTCGTCTGTATAAAAAATAAAAAAAAAATAAATAAAAATATAATACACCTCATGGGAAAGTTCAATATCAATAATAACACGACCCGTTACAACACGAGGTCGCACACGCTGTTCGAAATCATTTATATTCGTAAATAACATAATATTATGTACCTAAATTTTTGTCCGTTGACACCCCACGATTCTATACACGGGAAACCAGTCAACTGTATACATATATATTATTTACAAACCCCTTACCGACGACACATAAATTAGAATAACGGTACTTCTTCAAGGATAGTTGATTTCGGCCGTATATCGGTAAACATTATTACGCGCACGCACTACATTTACCGACACGCAGTTTCAATAAATTGTTATAAACGCGATAAATCGAAAGAAAAAAGAAAAGAAAAAGAACTCCGAACCGATAGAACTCCATACGGTTTCCGTTAATTCTGCATTTTACCGTAGTCTTCTAAACTAGACGAGTTTAAAAAACAAAACAAAACAAAAATACCGTGTGGTGAAATAGTGTATTTGACGTAAACATTTAAATATCCTCATATTAACTATTATAGATTAAAACGTAGCCATTTTTGTAAGTCTTTGAATCTACGAGATTCACGGCCATATACCTCACCCAAATATATAATGTGTTATGGACCGCAACAGGTAGACAGAAAGATCAGCAAAATCACGGTTAAATATCTAGCTGTGCTCGAATGGGAAAGGACCCGTACCCAAACTAATTTTACTGGCATTTTCGAGTTCCTCTACTATTTATTTCAAATGGAATGCATAGAATGATACAATTTGAACTTTATTATTAAAGATTATTAAAAAAAAATTACTACATTACACAGAATTTTTGTTTTTTACCACTAATTACAACACAAGATAAACCGTGTGTTAAATTTTCGTTAGGTTACACGATTTTATGTGATTAAATTAACTAAATAAAAACCTAAAAAAAAAACTGTCCAAGTATAATGGGGACGGGTGCAGCAAGTGCCACCCACTGTTGTAGGTGGAAAGTTAAAGGTAGGTAGGATACAGAAGGGAAATTAATGTATATCTGTAAACAAGGATAAATCATTGCTAACGAAAAAACGATTCTGAGCGCAGTTTAGTTGATAGTGATGCTTTGGTCAACAATAAACATGTCATATTATGGTAAAATGATTAAATAGGCGTTATATATTGTCTTTAATAATATTTGTTTAATATTGTACCGATTTTCCTATGTTTTTTCCGGGCTTCAAAATCTGCTGGAAAACTCATGGGAAAATCGAAAAATGACTTCCTCCCGGATCTCCCTAAAATACCACCCCAAGAAAATTTCCTCTCAAAAAAGTATTAACATCGTAAACATCGGAGTAAGCTTTCTGTTGGAAGAGTTCATATGAAAAATATAAATAAATAAACATTTTTATAAAACCTAAAGTAATACATTCTTCGCTTCACTCAGAATCTAAACTTCGAAAATTTAAAATGGTTTTAAATAATTATGTTATAAGAAGTAATATTTTTTTTTCGTAAATTATTAACTACAAAATTATGTTTGAAAACAAACGGACATACTTCGCACGATGGGTAGGCCATTTAATAGGGTGGGCGAGAAGTTGGTAAGGTAGAGGTGAAAATGAATGTATTACGCAACGATTAATCATTGTTAACGAAGAGCGATTCTGAGCAGAGTTCGATTATACATATTTTGAAAGGCCGTAATATTTACGATTTGAAAATAATAAATTTCGTAAATTTTCCAGGTTTTTCCCATTTATTATGAAAACCCATAGGAAAATCAAAAAAAAAAAAAAAAATGATCTATTTAAAATACCACCAAGGTCAAATTAATTTTTTACAGAAAAGGTATTAGATTTGAAAATCGGAGCGAAATTGTTTATAGAAAAGTTGTTTACAGAAAAAAAAAAAAAAGAAGAAAAAAACGTAATTTTTAAAACCAATAAAATTAATCTAAAATTAGTATAAGGGGTGTGGAGGCGAACCCACACACGATATAAAATAGGTACCGGTATCCAGGCACGTATACAGGGGGGGGGGTGGTTGTTGTTCAACCTCCCTCCCCGAAAATTAATAGTTGTGCAATTTATTTATATAAATTTAATTTAATTTTTATAAATATTGATTATTGTACATTTTTTATGAACCCTCCCTCGAATTTTATTTTTTGTGTACGTACCTGCTTATATTACAATTATTATTGTGACGTATCTACCTCGGTACTCACTTAGCACGTGTCTAGCGTACAAAATAGATATCGTTTGGGTATAATTTCTACACCATCCTGCGTTTAACCGTAATAAATAATAATAAATTAATTATTGAAATCGTTTCCAGGTGATTTATGGCTCGGCAATGACGCCATCCATCGATTGACAGCCGACAACGGATCTTCTTTACGTATTCAAATGACAGACATTTACGACAACGATTGGCGAGCAGACTACGCACATTTTGCAATATCGGACGCCATTGACGGTTACCGATTGAACATTTCCGGATACGATGGTAACGCCACGGACGCTTTAACGTTCCAAAACGGTCACCGGTTCAGCACGGAGGATCGCGACCAAGACGACAGTACGGCCAACTGTGCTGCCAACTACGAGGGAGGATGGTGGTACTCGCGGTGTCAACATGCCAACTTGAACGGCAAGTACAACTTTGGGCTAACGTGGTTTGACATCAGTCGCAACCAATGGATGGCGATTGCCAAAAGCGAAATGAAAATTGGCCGTCCAGTGGCCAGTGTGTAACTGTATAAATCTTAGAATAAAACTATGTCCGAACATGACCAAATAATATTAGTTAGGTAGTTTTAGTCATGCATCTGATGACATTTTAACCATGTGTGCTAGTCAAGTGAGACAATGTTGAACTATTTTTATATTAAATGCATATTGTCTGATTTTTTTTCTTTAGTATTTAAAATTTATATTTTGAACTGATTAGTTAGTAGTAGACATTGATAATTTTCTATACAACCAATTTGTTTAATGTTTATTTCATTATAGATATTTAAGAATACTATGTATACAAGTAGGTACCTGTAAATTTAAAGCAAATTGTACGTATTAAAATATTGTAATTTGTATTAATTTATCTATAGTTTTAATTTTTTTTATGTTAATTTCTGATCTCAAAACATGATCAATATACATTAAACATTTCATCATTTGACAATAATTACCTATTGATTAGTTATAATTATATATTACTTTTACTTTTATATTATATTAAATTATCACTGCACATAATTTAAGTATATTTATTGTACAGAAAACACAATATTTTAAAAGCACCAATACAAAAATAAAATGCATGATATTTATGCTCAATATATGATAAATACTCTTAATTTGTAATGTTCATAAAGTACTGAAAACAACATATTTTGTTAAGTAAATAATAATAAATGTATTAATTGATGATTTAACTATTTTATTAATATATAAATATTTTTATATAAAAAAAATCTCCTGTTAAACTTAAAAAATAATAAATTGTCAAATTTATATATAAATTAATAATAAATATATATACAAAATATTTTACATAATAAAATAAATTAATAATAAATAAGTGAATGGTGTAAAAAAAACTAAATAATACAACTGTTGCTGTAATAGTGGTATATATATCACAGTTCTTTAAACAACCAAGCAATTGAAAAATAGTATATTATGTTAAATTTTAAGAATGGAAATAAATAATAAAGTTAAATAAAAAAATTCACAGCCTTTAAAAAAATGAAACGTACATTATTTAAGAATTTCGCCTATTTAGTATATCAAAAAGCACTTCATTGGAACTGTTTGAATATTCCGAATCATCAGAATCACTCTCAGGTAATGTTAAATGCTTATTGTCATCACCAATAATGCCATATCGACTGTCAATTGACCTTGAATTTATATACTTTTGCCACACATGTCCAAAAACACCAATCATGCATAATGCTAAACCTAAAAATTTTGCACTATTCATTTTATCACCATTCCATTCCACAGCCAAAATCAAAGTGCAAATTTCCTGATAAATAATCCAATTAAAATTAATAAAAAAAATAAATAAATAAATAAATACATTATACTAACTTTTATAATTCCAACTACACTTAGTGTTATACTAGATGTTTTGTATACAGCAAAATATTCTGAAATTTCAAGACCAAAGGCCAGGCTCGATCCAATTAAAATTCGTGAGATCATTTGTAAACATTCAGTGTTTTTATTACTACTCCACCAATTTAAAAATGCATTACCTGTTCAATAAAATTAAACTTTAAATATTATAATATAGACACAGATATGATCAATATAAAGAATATATAGTAGGAACAATCTAAGAAATTTTGTTTAATAAATGTTATACAAATATTTTTGGATTTACAATTGGAGAAATACTTCAATATTTTCAAAAATATAACCAATGTACGTATTATCCTTAAATCTTAACAATAGATTTGATCTTACAAAACTGAATAAACACGTTTAGAGGCAGAGGTACTTGTTTAATTATGTAAACTATGACACTGGGTGTACATTACTATTCAATTTAAATAAGTAAAAATGTATTGTTTGAAGTTAATACTCATTATTATAATACTATACATACATTTAGAAGACTAGGCACCAATATTTATAAGAATCATAGGGTGCTTAAGGTAACCCCCCCCTCCTATAAAAATGAGCATGTAAAGGCTTTAACGATCCATTCTTAAAAACTTACTTTAAACCATACTTAAAAAAGAAAAATAATATTCTATAAATATAAATATATTTTAACGAATTGTAATTTTATTCGAACAAAATTGTTATTTTTTGAATAGCCACATCTTCATTCCTATGAATATACAGTATTGCCAGACCATTCAAGCAATATTGAGACATTATTAACCTATAAAATGATTTTAACCGCCACAGTGCTGAAAATTCAGATTATTTTTTCTTCGAAAGGAGCAGAAGAAAAAATGTACTTATTATTAAGAATATTTGATAACAAATTGTATGAGGTGCTCAGCACCTCAAAAAACATTCAACAGGTACCCGATGCACCTGTTGCACCTGTCTACATGGAGCCTAAATTTAGAAGACCAATTCAAAATAATTTACTGTTCATAAAAAAACCCTGACTCACATCAACTTTGATCAAGATGTGAGAAAAAAACAAATTGTGAATGTCCCTCAATAACAGTTTATTATTTTTATTCAATCTTTATTTACAATCATTATTGAATTTTTAAATAATTCTGATGCAGTCAACAATTTTTTTAAACTAGTAAATAATTAATAAATGACATTGGCAGATGCTCACTATCTTATCTATAGAAACCCAATCATTAAAAACAATGTGACTAGTTGAAATGTTAACTTAAATAGGCAATTTATAGTATATACAGGTTAACGCAAATAAATATAAATAAAATATTTATACTATAATGGGAAAAAATTTTGTTTTAAATGTCTAAAAAAATTGAAAAACAATTCAGTTTTGCGACACATAATTTAATTTTGGTTTTAAATAAATTCTAATAAATAATCAATATTATTTACCTTCTAAAAACACAGACATAGGAAATATTGCAATAAACATCCAGAGTTGACTAAAATAAATCATATCAACAGGACTTTTTATACCCATGTCTGCTTTCTGCATAATGAATTGTGATAGTGTCCAACGAAAACCACTGTAAAATATTAATAATTTTTATATTATACTAGCTGTCCCACACGGTTTAATCTGTTTACAGTATTGATCAGAAAAAAAAAGTTTTAGTTTTTTTAAAAGATTACTCTTTTTTGTAACAACCAAATTAACTAATAAAGACAAATATTTTTTTTTCATTCATGTTACCAAAAGTAAATCATAAATCAACGAAAAAAATTAGAATTTTATTCCAAAAACACTGTTATCAATCATCTTTTAGGGGTTGGATATGCTAAGCGTTGATCCAGAACAGATTCCATGTGTGTGTGTGCCATATTCCATTTAAATTCATTAAGCAATAATGGGTGATTAAGTCACAAACATCCATCCAAACTTCCAAATTTATATTAGTAGTATGTAAATTTAAAAGTTGAATCAATAAACAATAATATCCTTTCAAATGCTCATTTTTAAATCATGTAAACTGGACTAAAGCCCTGTCCCACCATAGTTACTCGAAAACTTTAGATAAAAATTAAACTTAAATAATACAGGCTTTTTTTATTTTCATTAAAACATTTTTAAAAAATACTGTGGTAATCTAAAAAAAGTATCAAAAAAGGACATAATTCGCAAAGTGACTGCAACTACTAATGTAGGTGGGAAATTGGGAGGTAGGATACAAATGAGAATGTAATATTTATCTGTAAGCAACGATAAACTAATGCAAACAAAAAAACAAATCTGAGCACTGTTCAGTTAATAGTATGGCTTAGTCAACAATATATATGTTATATTATGGTAAAATGATTATAATGATGCATTTAATACTTTCTTTAAAAATATTTGTTTAACATTGTACCGATTTTCCCATTTTTTTTGTTGGTTTTTCCAATATATTGAGTAAACCAATTGTTCATCAATTGTGTTTAATGATTCGAATCTGAGACTATTCCAACGTAGTGTTGAAATGTATTGTAAATGCCACTGTGGCAATATATTTACAGTTAACAACGATAATTTTCAGATTATTCATATAGTGATATAGACTGTTTTATTTAACTTATTCATACTAATATTAAAGTCTCACCTTAGAAAACAATTTACAATTTATAAAAAAAAAAAAAAAAAAGTAGCCAATAAATTTCCCAAGAAAAACGCAAGAAAAATTTTTCAAATTAGACTATTTGTTCCTGAGATTACCACATTCAAACATACAAACTCTTCATCTTTATAATAATAGTATATTGTGAACATTTAAAAACTATAAAATAGATGACAGTAATGATGTTAAGTATAACAGATATACAGATATATATATATATATATATATATATAATAAAGAAACTATTATATTCTTCATACAAGTCACAAAATGCATAAGCTTAAAATTTAAGTAGACTCTGAATAATAAATAAAAATAACTATTTTATTATTTTTGAAAAATTTGAAGATAACTATTTTATAGTTTATATTTTTGAAAATGTTGATGTATCAATTTTTTGTTTTAATTAATTTGCGATTTTCAATTATTTTTTTAAAGTTCTAAGAAAAAAAGTGTACAATCAATTAGCGGTAATAATAATAATAAATTTATATTTATAATTATACCAGAAACTAAAAATTGAATTAAAATATAAATATTTGTAGTCTTTATAATGGCGAGTAATACAAAAATGACATGTGAAACAGAATTTGATTATTTTTATTATCTTAGGAGACACTACAATGAGTATATATCAGTGGGACACTCAATATGTCACACAAAAAAATTTAACATTATATAATTTTTATATTTACCTGGCAAATGATGCAGTTAGTAATAAAATAAATCCTAATGTACTAAAATCAGTAGTTTTGAATGTAAACAAAAACAATCCTCCAGAAATTGAAAATACTGTGAGGAAAAGTACTACAGACTATAAAAAAGAATATTAAATTAATATTATTAAAATATGTTAAAAACATTAGTTTATAAAAACTTACTGGTTTCTCTAGACGTAAAATCAATGCATTAACTAACACAAAAATAATAGCTGTTGATTTTGTCATTGTATACCTAAAAAAAGTAAACATATTTAAATATTCATAAATAGGTTATTACAAAAAGTATACAAAATCAATAATAATTTACAATGAAACATTAACAAGTTCTAAGCCCCAATTCGAAAATCCAACATCAATTCCACTTGAAATTCCAATAGGTGCAAATTTTGAAACATTTACATCACAAGGTACTTTTACAGAAGGTATTCTCGTGGTTTTATGGTGTAAAAACCGAAAAATGATTGAAAAGGTATATTTCAAAATCAAATGACATGAAACAACAAGCAAGGGAAAATGGAATATCTGGAAACAAACACAATAAAAAAATATATTTTGTTTTTATTTTAAAAAGAAATAACACCAAACATAAAAACTTTTCATAAAATAATCATTTAAGTTAACAGCTGTTCATACCTGTAAAAACCATCTTTGGTAAAATGTAATTCCAATCGAGAAGGAAAAATATGGTAAAATAATGAGCCCAGAAATTAATAAGGTTTGAAAACGAAACCACATAGTTTTATTATTTGTATTTCTAATATCAATTTTGAATTTATTCATATTTTGAACACAGCGTGTGGCAAATTCAAAACTTGAAATAAAGAATTTACTTGTTCACAGAGTAAAATATAATTAATTGATAAAATATCATAGGTTAAGTACATCTCAAAAGTACTATAAATCATGATAAGAAAACATTTAAATACGTATTAAATTACAAACAAATTTGCAGTTCATATTAAATTTTGAACTACAACATTATTACCTACAACAAAATTAAATTAATTAAAATTAACAACACACCAATCTACCTGCTGATTAATGATAAGAGATATTAGATTTGAAAGTGCTGTAAAATAAGAAAACCAAAATGTCTCTAAACAGTCTACACTTAATTTATGAACTTGTAATCTTAACTATAACTCTTATCTTCATCTTTATCAAAAAAAAATCATAAAATCTAAAACCATCAGATAAGTCATATTCACAATAAAATTTTTTGTGCATATAAAAACGTGTTATTATTAATTTAGAAAAAAGATATGTAAAAAATATGGTTTAGTTTCTTGATATTCCTACCAAAATACTTTTTTGAAAAATATATACCTAAATAACAAAAAAAAATGTAGTACGTTTTATAATCTTTTAGATTTAGAGGAATATTTTTAATTCTGTAATTTTATTTAAAATATTATAAGGGGAATAACAGCGGCACTGAACCTTATATTCAAGTCAGACCATAGTCTGACCTTTATATTTAAAATATATCCATACTAAAATCAAGATAATAATATATTAGTGCTACTCAAGTACTGAATAATATATTAATAGATGATCTGTAATACTGGATTTGAAAAAAAATAATCTTCACTTAAAAAAAAAAAACTAGATTCCACATTATGCTTTATTTTATTATACTTAATTATATTTATATTTCCTACTTACTTGGTTTAAATGGTATTACTTCTGCAAAATACTTTCATCAAATATCATTATATTGTCTAAATCTCCATTAACTACAGCTTGATCAATAATTACATTCCTTCTTTCATCAATTGTGGTCATTATATTAATCAGTCCTTGATTAACAATAGCAAATTCATCATTGCATGTAATTTGATTAACTATCAACTTCATTTTTTCCATTATACTCAATCTTTCATTTTGAATATTTGTAAATTCTTGTTGGTAATCAATCACTTGATTATTTTCCAACGTCTAGACAAATATTAATATATAACATTTAAAAAATGTTTGTTACATGCAAAAATATGTGAACACATCCAACAGTTTTAAAACTCTGGTATTTATTAAGTATACAAATTCAATTAGGTAAATAAAAATTAAAATAAATTGGAATTTAATCATTTTATTCGTTTATATCCATTATCTAATAATTATATAATAATAATGTGTAGACAATAATTTAATCCCTCTTAAAACTGAATAATAGAATTTAGTATAAAATCTAAAGAATGTATACACACAATTTTTAATTTGCAATAATTTTTTTTATTGTTAAGTTATACTATTGCAGTGACATATCCGGAAATTTTTTTTGGGAGGGAGGAATGAAAATAATATAACAAGTTAAATTGTTTTGAATTTTGTATAGTTTTATTTTAATTGGTATTAATTATTATTGTGTATTATTATAGTATTATTACATAATTACTTATGTTTTTATAATGCTGATTATAAAAATTAAAATATGTAAATATTTATTTTTTTCAACATAGACAATACAATTATGAACAACACTATCACAATTCGAAAGTGCACTGGATTTTTTTTTTATATGCATCAACTCAAAACAATTTTAAAAAACAAAAGGACATAATTCACACGATGGGTAGGTCACTATTGTAGGTAAGGAGTTGGAAAAAGAGAGGGGAAATTTAATAATTTCCGGGGGGGGGGAGTTATGTCCTATCTCTTCCCCGGATATGCCACTATACTGTTATATGTACTTACTTCATGATTAAATTGTAAAATTGGTATTTGTTCATTTTGCTCAATTATCTGTTGGTCAACATTTAATTCATACATAGGATCAACTTTATTTGCATAACTATCCTTTATATCTATATGATTCGATAACAAATTATTGCTAATAATAACAATATCTTGTTTGTCGGATTTTGTTTCCACATCTAGATTCTCAGAACTTAAAATAAGTGAAGATTTCTCGTGATTTTCAATATTATACAAAGTTACTAAATCGCTATCAAAAACATTTTTGACTTCTATAGTGTCATTTGGCTTTTCCTCAAACTGATTATTGTTTTCACTTATTTTTATAAAATTATTTTTCTTTTCAAAATCCTTTAAAGAATTTTTAATCGCAACTAAATCTTTTCTTGTTAAATGATGTAAACGACTTGTAGAATCTAACGTTTTCACGGCATTTAGTATATCATTATATTTAGTATTGGGTATTAATAATTGTTCTGCGAGAAAATCTTTCTCATTCTTAGCCAATGTTAACCGTTTTGGTTCTAAATCATGACCAACATGTGTTTTAATGTATAATACACTAACTAAATTACCTTCAACCATCACATCCATTCTAGCTGGACAATGAGATCCAATCTTATTTGTACCAAGTGATTTTAATTTTCTGATATTTTTTCCTTTTGGTTTATATTTTCCATCTCGATGGCATTTAAAAAATAAATGTTTGGAACCAGATGCTCCAACATATGTTGACCGAGCTTTAACGAACCTAAAACATGATTTAAATAAATTACAAATAAAACAATTAAAAGTATTAGGTATATTAACTAAATATAATTTACTTACCTACTGATATCTTGGTCTTCAACCTCATATTTCCATGTAAAAAATGCATCTAAACTATCAAACTTCAATTTCTCGCTAGTAATTTCAGTTTGATGGCAGAGCACATAATGTGTAGATAAATTACTCTTAGAGCATTGGTGATCACAGAACACACAGGACACATTAAAAATACCATCATTTTCATTCATATGAACATTTTTAATATGCCTGGTTAACATGAATTTTAACTGAGAACTATAACCACATTCAGAACAAGAGTAAACAGGGATTGCTAATTTATGTATATTCATGTGTCTGTTGAATGACTGTTTGTAAGAAAAGGCCCTTTTACAAACTGAACATATATATTTTTCTTCATTAGAATGTTTCGCTGAAACATGATCATTTAAATTGTTCCTTTTAGAGAAAGTTTTCTTGCATTCATTACACTCAAATTTTTTACTGGTTTTAGAAGACATGTTTTTACAATGGGTGAAACACTTACTAAAAAAAGAACAAAAATTTGTTTAAGCGTTTAATACTCAAGAAAAAAACTAATTACTTCTTTATAATAATTTAAATCTTATACAAATACAATTTAATTAGACACCATACCTTAAATAAATTCCAGATGTTCAGATCACAACTAAAAGTCAACTTATATAGATTAGTGATAAAATCAAAAGAAATGGTTAGAGAATTTAAGATTATATTAGGAATGTGTGATAAAATATTTCTTGCGTTATTGCTTAATCAAATCGTGGTTTAACATTATTTATGTTTTCACATTTATATCTACATATGAGCTATAATAATTAATAATTCATTCATGATTCCATATCTCATGGACGTCTATTAAACTGTTTCCAACTTCAATGTTCAGGTCCACAGATCAGTATGTTGAGGTCTTATGAGCAATGGCTAGTTCAATAGAACTATAAAAGTCTATTCATAATGTTAATAAAAAAAACACATCTTCATAAATAATAATAATCACGGACTAACATTGGTCCGTGATAATAATTCTTTATTATCTATGCCTATTTCATTATTTGTATCACACCATCAAATGTGTTAAAATGTCAAATTCATACTACCTTTAGTGTAAATTTGTAAAATGTATCATGTATGTAAAAAAAAGTGTACACATTTTAGTTAAAACGATTTTTGTATCATGACATATAATCACGTCATATCATTATGTTCTATGATATGCATCATAATTAAAAACAATACATTTTATTATCTATTGATAAGACGGTAAAAAATATTTCTTCGTAAGTTAGCTATTATTTTAATTTTTCAATTTAGTTTAGTTACAAGTTATGTGATGGAGAAAAGTTTATATTACATATTATTTTGTATTATTTTTAATTCAGTCAATAATTTCATAATAAAATTGTAAAGTTATACTTAGATACTATTTAGTCTTATTTCATCTATTGTGATACATACCTATTTCGAATTAAGTAATTTATGTACTTTACTGTTAAAATAATTATCAATTTTTAGTTGAAAATATTATTGGTATGTTATCTGTTGATTCAACTCTAATATTCGGATAATTAATTCACTACGTATCCATTTATTATCTATTATTTATTATTATTGCGTATTTGTTAAATATTGTAACTAGGTTTATCAAATTAGTATTTAAAATGCTTTAAATTAAAATAAATATTTAATACTATTTCAGATAGTTATATTTCTATGAGTTCATTACCAAATGATATTTTATTTACATCTGAAATGGACGATTCAGTGATTTCACTATCATCATCTGATTCGGCATCTTCTGCAAGTTCGACACCTATGTCTGATAATTTCCTAACAATAATAAATGAAGTAGATAAATTAGATAAATATTTTTTTTTTTGTTTTAAATACTTCAAATATTGTTTTATTGTTTTTAGGACGATTTGAATGAAAATATACTAGAACAAGAAATTGAAAAATGTAATAAAATGATAATAACTACAAAAGAGTATAGTCAAGAACGATTGCGACTTGTCAGAAGATTAGTAGAACTAAGACTTAAATTCACAATGGTGACAGAAAGAAAAGTTTTAGAAAGTGATGATCTAATAAATACCAATACTCAAGTGGTTTATGGGCATCATTTATCTCTTATATGGAAATCTGATTGGTTAACAACTAATTTTTGTGATGTATGTGCAAAATCAATTTGGAAAAACATGCATCAGTTTTATAAATGTATTGGTAAGTATTACATTTGTATTTATTTGATTAAATTAGCCAAACATTAAATCAAAGTAGATATTTAATTTCAGACTGTGGATACTATTGTCATGTATTTTGTATGGAAAATATTAAAAGAATTTGTACTGCAATTAGAGCTAGTGAGCATTCTATGATTTTGACTATTTGCCCATATAGTGGATTATTAACTCAAGATTACAAATGTGCTGAATGCCAATCATATGTCCGTATTCGTAACATAAAAGTTTCACCAGGTATACAGAAATACAATTAATATATTTTACTATATTTTTATAATTATAATTTTTGTACTAAAGTTATATAGATGTTATTTTTATTTTCAGAAGATACACTTTCATTAGAAGCACGTCTATGTGACTACGATGGGAAATTTTATTGCCCTTTACACCATTGGAATAAGACTGCTGTAATTCCAGCACGTGTTGTCTGTAATTGGCAATTTGATAAACAATATGTGAGTCAGGCTTCTTTTCAACTGTTGGAATATAAATATAAATCAAAAGTATACGATTTGGAAAAACATAACCCTAAACTTTTCATGTATCTTGAGTCACTTAGTCAAATTAAAGTAGGACAATTATTAATAAATTATTTCTAAGTAAACCTAATTTAAAAAATTAATTATTTATTTTGTATTTTTAAAGAACATTAAAAATAATGTATTCAAAATGAAGAAATATTTAGTTTTATGCAAAGTTTGGAATGCACAGTTAAAAAATATATCTTCAAGATGTCATGAATTTTTATACGATAGTAATTTGTATAGTATGAAAGATTTAATTGAAATAAAATCAGGAATTTTTTTAGAGGATTTATTGAGAGTAGTACAAATATGTGAGAAACATATACGAGTTGAATGTGAAGTAATTTATTTTTACACTTTTTTTTTTTTATAATACCTAGATATTTTTATTTTTTTATTATTTTTATTATTAGATTTGTAAAAATCGAGGATATATTTGCGAAATTTGTAAACAAGATAAAATAATATTCCCATTTGATGAAGATGTTTATAGCTGTGATAAATGCCATAATGTTTATCATAATAATTGCTGTAATGAAAGAAATTTTTGTCCTAAATGTAAAAGAATTGAAAACAGATCTAAAATTCAAGAATACTCTACTACAATATAATTCAAATTTCAAGAAAATTAATATTAAGTATTTTATTCTTAAATAAAAATTGTATTTTGTTCTACACTTAAAATATGTAACACTTCTAACACTTTCTACTTCTAAATTAACATTTTAATTGGTTATAGATTTATAAATGCCTTAGAAATAATATTAAGTTTTATCTTTGAAAAGGGTCAAGTACTGTGATATTTTTACTATAAAATTATATTGTTTATTATTATGTTGAAGTTTAATATTTATATTTGAGGTTATTATCTAATTAATTATAAAATTTGTATAACGTATTATGCTACATTATAGTATTGTTTAAATTTATATGATGAAAATTAAAATTTTAATTCTGTAACAAAAATTACTATTAGGATGATTTTTTTCTCCATTTTTCTTGCCATAAAAAAAATGACATTTCATATATTATTTTGTAATTTATGAGAATACAATTTATTTTTGGCTCCATAAAGATACTTTTAAATTTGAGACTAAAAAAAAAATATATAAATTATAATTTATTTTGCAATGATAGCTATTTAAGTTTTTTATGAAATACTGTTTGTATGTATTGACATTAAGGAATAAGTTACCCAATAGGTTATTATTAATGTGTATTTAAAATGTGTATAAAGAAAATAACTAGTACAAATTATAATACAAAATTAATGAGTTTCATTTTGTTATATTAAATAAACGAAGTATCTACACAGTATACAATGCTGATAATATGAAACAGGTGAACATCAGTAACTTAATTATGGGAATAGATCTTCCAGAGCATTATTTTTATATTATTATCAGGGATCGGTAATTATCAATATTTAATTATTAATCTAGTTATTAAACAATTTAAAGAAAAAACGAAAATGCATATGGTGTTAAAGTATGTATTGTTAAGAATAACTGTCTATTTTCCTATTAGTTTCGTCTAATTTTTGAAATATAGTTAACAGATTTGTTTTTATATTATCTTTGATAATAAGGATTGGATAATTATCAGGGATCCTAATTATTATTATTATTATTATAATGCATCTTAATATACCAATGTCATCAAAGGTGGAATAGCCAACTGAGCAAATGCCTTGTGACCTGGTTTATGAGTGGCCCGAAGTGTTCAAAACGATAATTAAAATATTTGTATAGGATAAAGATCTCAGGTATAAATTTTAATTATTGATAGCGGAATCATAATAAAATATGAATACTATAATTACACAATATACCTATCTACATTCTTAAATAATTTCATAGAAGAAATTTACATACTGATCAATTTTTGTAATTAAATCTGATACCGATAATTTACATTTAAAATACATATTTTTATACTTAAAAGGCTTTTTTCATTAATTATACAATTCTAAAAGACTAGGAATTTACTATTTTGTAATATTATTTTAGGTCGTGTTATTTAATCGTAATATTATTTTAACTTTATAATACCTACCAAAAGTGACAAAAGAAAACCCCAGCAACATATGAGCTGCGATACAGGGCATTTTTAGATTCTAAGCACAAAGCAAGTTATGTATTGGTTTTCTATGATGTGCATGTTTTTATTAAATCTCTATTTATTTGTTTTTCTATCTGTATACCACTTTTCTACTAGAAATTATATTCCGATCATCAACTTTGAGGATGGTTTTCGAAAGCAAATGTTATCTAGTTGGTGTATAGGGGAAGTTATTTAAATGTTTTATCAAAACAACATCAAGTAAATTCAATGAATCAATATTGGCCAATATTAACCAAGTATATAATTTAGCTTAATAAAATCTGAACGGAAAAATTCTCTACCAACAAATATCGGTAGATACCGATTTCAGTGTACGTTCTTAAAAAAACGAAAAAGAGCTCCGATAAGGTTCTGGTTAATATACCGGTATTTTTTAAATTTTGATTCCTGCTCGCGGATAATCGTTATTTAATCGTGAACTTATGTTCGCCCCCACTCATACGACCGGCCTCCCAAATTTTAAGCGGCTCGTAGAGCTTAGAGATTTTCTCAGAGGCCAATCCCCGGTTCTGGCACGGCACGATTTGTCACGCTCGTGACGCGTTCACTGATTCGAAGAAGACACCGTATCGATCGCCGACGTTACCGATGAAGCCCTGTGGAGCTCCGTGGCTCATTTTTCAGTTGCTTCAGTACTTCGGACTCGCGAGAGTATTGATTGTCCGCACGTGTATTTTTCACTCTACTGTCCAGTGGCGTAAATTGGCCTAAATATTTTAAAATTTGTATGTTCTTTATTTTGTATATTTATAATTTCTATTTTCAAAAGTACCTACAAATTAAAACAATAACAAATTAATTGTAATTTTCGTTATGATATGCCTAATTTTTTGATTGGACAGCTATCATAACGTGTAACTGTGTATAAAAGAGTAAGTAGGTACCTACATCAATCTATAAATCACCTGAATTAGATCCATTGGCATTATATTTTGTCCTCTGCTATGTTCACCCCGCATGATAAATATAATATTTAATAATTATACTATTTTCAGAATAAGAACGTACCGAGCGGCGTACCAAAATCGGCCCGTGTGCGCGCATGTCTCTACTAATTATTAATAACAAATCACAGAATGTCTGGCGATGCAGTCTGGATGTACGGCGCGGTGCGTTCTTATTCTGAAAATGATACAATTAAGTTTGTTTCGTTTGAGCGACATAGTATTATTTTTTGATTTTTGTGAAAAAAAATAATTGTTAGATATGGAAATCAATCGTCGATTAGGAAGTGATTTACCAAGAAAGTGAGAGTATTAGTGGGCTGTAGGTACAATTAAACATTTCACTGTACTACCAAAAATTGAAACCGATTTACGTCACTGCTACGGTCAATAATACATTAAATTAACAAGTGTCGTCGTAAATAATATTATAGTGTGGTTTTGTTCGTCAAGACTCAAGACTGAATAGTAGCGGTTTTCTGGATCAAAATATACAGATGCAATGGCCCGTGACAGTAAGTACCTAATCAACATTTTAGATTCCGAACGTAGCGAGGGAGCTATTAGTTTTAGTAAGATGTTTATTTTTATTTTTCTTTGTTCTTTGTTGTAGTTTGTGGACACGTCTTATCCTGGTAAACTTGTTCTGATTTTTCGTATAGCAAGTTTTCTGAAAGTTTAAGTTGTCTAGATGGTACCTACCTTCCCAACTTCTCACCTAAAACTGTGGCTGTTAAAATCTTTCAATTTCCAGTATCAGCTCTTTTTCATATTTTAACCTATACTTACCCTAGTACCTATTCCAATTTGTTCATTCATTCGTGCATGACTGATAGCTGCTGTGACGTAATAGCTTTTTATCAATATGGACATTTTTAAATAAAATAGAGTCATTAGTAAGTAAGTACTAAATAACGATAATTAAAAATAATTCTCAATAGGTATAGGTATGTAGTAATATAGTCCTCTAGGTTTTATAGTCACCTGTGATATATAGGTATTTTGAATTTTGGAAAAACATTTTTTTTTTTATTTTCGTATAAAATAATAATTGTTGATTAAAATATTTCCCAATTTCTATTTTTAACTCACCCATCCCATATTTATACTTTATTACCCTTAATATAATTACAACTGTTATTTAAACATTTTTTTTTTATTCTGTTTCAGATTTAGCATGGGCAGTAGTAAGGCCAAACGACTGTCACAGATGAGGTTGGTAGATAATTATATTAAACAGCCACCTAATAATTCATTCGCAAATTCCCAAAGTATTACTAAAATACAAACTATTTCTATATTGGTAAATATCCATGAAATATGAATCTAGGCTGTTAAGTAAAATACATTATTTGTTGTGACTTATTATGTGAGTATTAGGGGTATTATTTCTGGTATTTACAGTTATCACTCATTATATCAATAAAAAGTTGATTGAACTATGTAAGGGCAAAGGAGGAAACTAATAAAATTAATATTTGTATTTTGATATTAATTTTAAATCAAGTTTAACTTAGTTATTTAGAATTTTGAGGTGTATATTTTTTATAATTGTATACATTATTATAAATTCAAATGTATGATGATGGATATTCTTCAATTTATTTTAGTAAATTAAGATAATTAATCCTTAATAATGTAGGTAATTGTAGATAATGTTGATGATGTTTATCATTTACCTATGTTATGTGTTTTTCAACAATTTTGGTGTTTTGAATTTGGTAATAAATAATTTCAGTAAAACTTTAGGTTTTTTATTTTTTTGGTAAAACTTAAAATAATAATAAATAATAATTAAATGTTCTACAATTTTGATTTTTGATGGCTTATGAAAGGTAAGTAACTTAACTTGTTTAGTTTTAGTAGATTTATTATTTGATGTATAATTTATTATTATGGTATATTGTAATTAAAGAATTATTTACAGTCCTATTGCACTTCATCATAAATTGTTCATTTTTAGGAATAAGATTGCTATGATCAGGGCTGTAAATAATTTAACCACGGTTATTCAATGAAAATTTTGAGATTTCTTTATATTATTTATTATTTATATTTGATGGGTATTTAAATATTTTTTATATATTTCATTTGTGATTTAAATTTTTTAATTCCAAATTAATAGAAGACATAAACTCAACAATAGCATCTTCTAAAAACTCCAAACATTTATTGTGCATAATATTTGATTCCATTTCTGACCTTTTACCAAACAGTAACATTATATTTATACCTCTTTTTCTTATATTCATTAAATGAATATGTCTATCTCCATATTTTGGTTGTTATATACCACAATTTGTAAGAGTATTTTCTTCCATGGTCAGGATTTGTACTAACATTTTCTCGATAAGATGAATGAGTTAAAGCTAGCTGGAGTAAATATTTGTTCTTGAATTGTAAGAAAAGACAAAAGAAACAAATTATATCCAGTCGTAGTTAATTTTGACAACCACAATTAAGTTATACTGGTAATGCAGACTATCAAAAGACTGGAAAGACAATGTACAATTTAGACATTTTCTTGCAAATATGACCAAACCATCACCTGAGGTTAAAAAAAAACTTAAAATCAAGGAAAGAGCTTTACAAGAAATGAGGTTACATAATAAAATCAAACGTGGAATCAGTGGCGTAATTGAGAATGTTTCATGGGGGGAGGGATATTAAAATAAATATTCATAAAAAAAACTTGGTGGTTTACGGTTAACGGTCGCTATTATGGAAATATAGAAAATTATTTTATTAATACAATTTTACAAAGGGTTAGGTTACTAACTTTGGTTAGGTAACTTTACTTATGCAGTGAAAAAAAAAAAGGAGTAATGTAGATTTTTTTTTATGAGAATTTTATTATCAAAGTTTGACGAAAATTGTTTTGGTATAAAATTTTATTAAAGAAAATATCCAATGAGCAATTTGTAATTATTTTACCATAAGTATATAATATGATATATATTGTTGACAAAGCAATACTATTAACCAAACTCCGTTCCTTAGAATTGTTTTTCGTTAGCAATGGTTAATTGTTGCATACAGATATACATTAAATTTCCCCTTTACTTTTTTACCTTCCCAACTTCTCTCCTACATCAGTGATCCACCGCTCACTCATCATGTGAAGTATGACAGTATTTTTGTTTTTATGAAAATGTGTAAGAACTAACGATTAGGGTTATGAGGAAAAATGCACCTTTTAGAAAAATAAATCGAACACCAACATCAGTTCAATAATTTTACAATAATTTTGAAAATTATTATTTGTTATATATAAATAAATATTAATTTTAATAAAAAATATTTTGCTTAGTGGCTACACTGGAACGTCGTACGACCAGATTAATTTAGCTGTGGCGGTCTTCTGGAATATGTGCGTGCTCTGCTCACTCTGCAGTAGTTCAGTACGCGGTATAACCACGATACGATAGGTTCATGTGTTGCCGGTCTGTTAACGTTATCATCCCCGATCAAATTTTCAAACATTTGTTGTATCGGTTTGTATTTGCACAAAAAAACATTCGCAGTTGTTTGTTTTAATTCTTTTAAAAGTTCCGTACATTTTTTCCGTTTCGTTGTGCGCTAAAGAAGTCATCCTGGAGTCCGGACCGATTATCAAAAGGTACCAAAAGTAATAATATTATTTTTGTCGATAAAATAAAATTAAAAAAATGATTATATTGTGTATATTATTAACTGGCCCGTGTCGATAATTCGGCTTTTAAAATCAAATCAAATGCATATGAAAACGTTTAGATTTCCCTAACTCTGGATTTTCGTAGCATTATTACTGTCGTGAGTCCGTGACGCATATCCAGCCCAATATTAGAATGCAATTACGTGATGTATTGCACGCAATTGCAGGAATTATTTGTCTGTATGCGATTGTGAATTTCAGATTTTTAACGAATCATTCCGCGAAAGCATGAAATTTAATCTGTATAATTGGGTAAGTAAATAAGGACACAAATGTCCTTATTTCTATAAATATAGGTACTTAGTTTAATATGCCGTCTATTTAAAATCTTAAAATTAATTAACCAGGGTCTGATTGGCGATTACCTTTTTTTTTTTTGCTCACCACCCACCTAATCCTCGGTCCTTTCTCTCTATAAATTCTTCCATACCCCCTAAAATAGGTCTTGCTATGCCCCCTCCCATTTAATGGCTCTTTAGGCTGCAGCTTTTTCAGCCTATTGGTTAATCAGGCCTTCGGGCCCTGGATGTAACATCAACACGAAGATCAAATTCGATATGTATTCGTTTCAACCCCTCCTGGAAATGCTTTCCTCCATTCACCTCTATTGAAAAGTATTATATTCGTCTGCTAAATATATTCTATTACCCATCCTGTTTGGCTATTTCTTTTGTTCATAGAAACACTTTATTAGTCCGGCCACGACAATATTTATTAGGTAATACAATTTTTTATGCGAGTTTTTTTTAACGCATTTCAAAATATATTATGGCCTGTGTATTCATACCAGAGCCCCGAGGAATCGCCCGAAAATATATTACTAAAACTTTAATAGTTATATACTTATACCTACCTTATTTACTACCTCAATTGCCTCGAATTAGTAATACTTGGTTATACTAATAGTTGGTACAATATTTAAGGGATCTAAGCAGAATTAATTTTTAACAATATTTTATAGTATTTTATCGAATATAATATATCTTTGGTCCCAAAGAAGTAGTGTTATTTTTTATTATTATAATTTTGTCTAGTGTAATTTTTTTCCCTTTTATTTTTCGGTCTCAATTATGCATTTAAGTGTATATTTTCAAAATTATTGTATTAATAGTTTATGAACAAAACGTGTATGTGTTTTAAATATTTGAGTAGCTTGTTTGAAAACTACGTAATTAACTTAAGCCCTTCTTCGCTGTAGCCGAAGATTATAATATAAAGAAAAATTTTCACGACTTACACAAATTTTTTTCAATTTATCAAACGAATCATTTAAATCACTACATATGTGCGTATGTAATAATTTTTAGTGATCGTTTTCCACATAAAACGTACATATCGCGTTGCGTCCCGCGCGAATCCTATTATTATCGTCGTCATCGATGTGTAAACCTACATAAAAATAATAATATTATTAGGTAGGTATGATTATTATAATATTTCTGTTTTACGATTTATCGCGGAGGTGCCGTATTATGGATTCCACCCACATAATATTATATGAGACAGTATTTCGTTATTGCAGTGGAGAGATTTGCTATCTTTGTCCGTCTAACTTGTTTAAAATCGATTTTAGTGATAAAAGTCTGCGTATTATAAAGTGCATAGACGACGACACGTTGAGGAAAATCTCGGAGTTTCACAGTTTTCTAAATGTTCAAACTACTATCGTTATTACCGCGTAGTTAAACGAAAAATCGTTATTGTTTACAAATGATGATAATTTTGTCATCGACCAAATCGTATGAATTGGGTCGTACGGTTTTATCTCTAAAAACCGATTTCAAAGGCCTTTCCGTTTGTTTTACGAGTATACGCGTATTAGCCATACGAGTATCGACGGTAAACGGCGCTGTATGATTTCGAATTTTTAGATGACACGCGGGCTGGTGACACGGGTATTATATTTGAATTTTTTTTTTAGTGTACTCGTATATTATTATATAGGGCGAAGCGACGGAAATATTTTATCTGTCGAAAGGATTCGTTTTGTCGTCGTCCGGGGGGTGGGAGGAGGGGAGACGGAGAGAAAAAAAATTACAAAAAATAAAACCAATCGAACTCGCGCGGTGGCCGCTCGTCTGTGCGTGTTTGTGTGTGTAGAAAAGTATGTATATTATAAATTTGTTTGTGTGTGTGTGTGTGTGCGAGTGTGCGCGCGCGATCGCGTATACACTGCAGGCGAAAATCATTACGTGCACATGTTTATTATTTTTATATATATATATATTTTCCCTCGGAATATCGCCCGGAGGTGTACGGTTTTTATTATTTTTATGTTTTTGTGCGCGTTTGATGTGCCGTGACATGAGGTCGTACACGACCCGAGGCGACAATCGTGCTGGTGCCTCGGGGGGGCCGGCCGGCCGGCCGCGCGCGCTCCGGCACTATCACAGCTCCCACCCGTTCGCTCAAGACTGTGCCACGGCTCGTTTGCCCCCGGGCAGGGATGACCGGACCTCTGATTGTGTGTGTGTGTGTGTGTGTGTGTAATATCTATCTCGACTATATATAGGTATCTTACGTACGCTCGGTACTTGTGTATATAATATTACGAACTCTTCGGTTCGTATATATATATGTACACCACGCGGTACACTCGTGCCGTACGCCCGGAGTGATCACGGCCCGCCGTATATTCGTTTCCCACGTGTTTTTTTTCTCGAATTATTATTATTATTATTATTATTATCATTATAATATTATTATACTATACGCACCACCCCGGCGGGATCGTTCCCACGAGACCCCTTCGTCGTCGTAGCCGTTCGCGCGCGCGCGCGCGCCCGCCGCCGCGGGATCATCAGACATAAGTCACACACGCACATACAACAACACACGACATCGCGTCACGGTCGCCGCCGCCGCCGCCGCCGCCGCCGCTTGTTCACACTATAAAGTAGGTATCTAACCAAAACAATATTCTGTCCTAACGACGGCGACGACGGCCGCGAGACGCTCGCCGCACCGCCGCCGCAATCGTCCGCAATTATTCCCCGACAGTGTTGTTGTTTTTGTTGTTATTTTACGATTCCACTGTGTTATTATGCCGGTGTTTACGACGCCGCCGCCGCGACATTTCGTACGCCGATCAATCGGCAAATGTCGGTACCGACGAAAATATATCGACCAAACCCCCCCCTTCCTAATAAAATCCCTCAAACAAATTAATGACGTCGTATGTAAACAATAACGTTTTAAATTAGATATAATGCGTATATAAGAACGTATATGATAATTGTCTTTTATTTTATGTTAAATACGGGCTAAGCCCAAAGTACAGTAAATGTTAATTATACAGTAATACGACAAATGGAAATTAAATTTAAAACATAAGCAGTCATTTAGCGAAAGTGAAACGGAATCAGATGTCTAGGTTAGAGTAAAACCGAAGAGTGGATATTAGCAAGACGCATTGAGCTCGGAATGTTTGAACTATAATTGGTGCATAGGATAGCAAAGGTTGCGGTAGAGTGGGTCCGACGTGGAAGGCCATGAAAGTTAATGAGGGATAGGAGCGTAGGCGCGTCGGCAGAACTATCGATGAAGTTTCTGAGAAAGTTCAGGTTAAAGGCAACTCTTCTGTCGGCTAGCGTTGAAAGACCAAGTTCATAATGTTTATTTAATATGTTAAAATATTTTCAATCCATTAAAACGATATTTATACTAACATATACTGAAAGAATTTCTTTTCCAGATTCTGAGTGGAGCGAGAAATGTATTGGTTTTTCAAAGATATTTATTTAATTTATTTTTTTTTTCCGTGGACAATTTTTCTATCAGCAATTTTGCTCCGATTTACAATGAAAACACTTTTTTTGAAAGGAAATCGGACTGGGGAGGTACTTTAGGAATGTCATCTTTTAATTTTCCTAGGAAATTTCCTAATAAATGGAAAAAAAACTTAAGAAAAACGGAAAAATAGGTTTAATATTAAACAAATATTATTAAAGATAATGCTTAATACACATGTACCGTGTACATATTTTATCATAATATGACATATATATAAATTGTTGACGAAGTAACACCGAGCTCTACTTAGAATCGTTTTTTCGTTGGCAATGGTTAATCGTTGCATACAAATATAAATTATATTCCCGTCTATATCCTACTTTTTCAATTCTACAACTAAAATAGTAGCTGCAACCGTCCCCATTATACTAGGATAGATTTTTCTAACCTGTTATGTCCGTGACCGCGATATTTTTGGATTTTCCGTAGTATGCGCATTTATATTATAATATTTGGAATATTAAATTCAATAATAATAATATTCATATTTACATATTTTGCTAATATTGAAGACTGCGCGTATCACATGATCATTATACAGCAATTGAAATAGTTACTTATATCCTGTATGTGTATAATATCTGTACATCGGAAAGCATATAGATAATTTATTTCAAACGTAATGTGTGATATTTGTATTTCTTGCATTTATAATTTAAATTTATCCCATTTAAATTCGATGGTGTTTATCTTTAATATGATATTATGTAGGTATATACGTGAAAATATTATTAAACTTAATTAACAGCAATAATAAAACAGAACACTATTCATAAATTTTGTACAGTAAACTTTGTATGTGCTCACATATCTGTAACTGTTATAAAGACGATTATAAACTCGATCCATAAATAATAAATATATTATGTATGCGTTGTTGTAAACCGAGCGATTTTTTTATCGCTCAATAATCGTCGGTCTTGTTGGCTATTCGTTTTTGCTACACTTGAACGTCAAATCATTATAATATTTACAAAATACTAGGGTTGGAACGTATAATACAGTAAAGTATAAAACACGTATTATACGTATGTACAAAATGTATAAAACTTACAGTATAACTTTATTAGTTGTTTACGTTATATACTGTATACAATTTTTTTTTTTTTTTGGTTGCAATTGAACAGAAATTATCAGGTAAACTAATCGTCAATTGAATTTAATCATCATTTTATGTATCTTATACTAATTACCTTAAATATATGTGATAATTTGTTATATTAATTATTAAGTTAATCTTTATTCTTTATTAATAACTATATTAATATGTATAATACCAAAAATAAATTTGTTTTTTTTTTTATTCTAAATTTGAGAAAATTCACCAAGTTCATGTGATTTGTTAATTTTTACTCATTTATAAGTTTAAATACTTATTGAAATTTAAAATGTACAGTATTATCATTATTATAATAAACCAAAAAAAAAAATTTCTTAGTCGTAATAAAGTTGTATACGTTTTATACGCTTATATTACCAACCCTGTAAAATACGCAACTGCCGGTTATTTTATTACTTTTTTGTTTTTTATTAAAAATGGCGAATGTTTTATTTGGAAACTATCAGGTCGAATAATTCGACACTTTAAACCCATGTTATTACTATAACTTTTGCAGTGAAATTTCACCCCAAAATTCAACTTATGGTATTCTGATATTCAAATATTGAATCTTAATATATCACTCCACCAGGCGCCATGATGGTCCATGATCTCAGTATCTGAAACATGAAATACTACGCTACAGTTTATACACACTTAAAAGTTATAAATTATAATATTATATAGTGTATACATTTCCATACATAATAAAAAAAAAAAAAACTCAAATCCAATCTATTAATCTCCAATGTAACATCAGCAATCCTCATTCCTGTCGCCTTAAAAGAAACTGGTCTCTTGGTTTTCTTGCGTTTTTTCGTATTTCTAATTTAAATATGTAATCTGTTAGGCAAAACACGGGTTCGTTTACTTTAAAAAAATGTCAACAGACGCTTCTTTCATGTCGTCATATCAAGTTTTTTCTTTCTCTTTCTCTGCAGTTTAACCCTTTTTATTATTATTATCATATTTCATGTCAGATTGTACATATATATATATATGGTTTATAATATTTTTTAATAAAAATTAAAACTCGGTATAAGTGATATCTGACCATTATCTTCTTCTGCCACTGATTGAATTTGCTAATTGTACTGATTGTACATTATAATATTGCTTGTATTCATTATTATTAATTAACTTAGTAAATTCCTTAAATTTTTAATTCGTTTCCAATATAAATTTGACCTCGATTATGTAAAGTGACAATATTATTTTACGAATAAGAAAACTTTTAATATTACACACCGAAAATATCTATAAAGTATTATTTCTTTACTTTTATTTAAAGTATTCGTTGTATTATTAATTTGATAATTAATATTTTTGAATTCAATTTTCAGTATAAAAAATCGTCGTTATTAGTTAAATGTTCGAATGTAATATAGAACATGTAAGTCGAAAGGTTTTTTGTTGTTGAACTGTAGCATAATTGAATACAAACTCGAACAATTCCGTAAGAATTCGAATACATTGACTAGGTATTTGATTTCACGAGCTAACCCTTTATAGAGTGCATCTTCATTCGGCATTATTTAAGTTTATTTATATAAACGGAACCACTTTATTACTAATGGCACTGGTTTACGTACTAATCTCTCCGCCGTCGTCGTCGCTCGTCGATGCAACGTAAAAATGGAAAAAAAAAGTAGGTTTTGGCGGATGGTCGCGTTTTATTTTATATTTTATTATATTTAATGTCACGTGCCTTCCGTCCGGTACAACTGGTATCATCATCAACAGGTAGGTCCGGATAATGTGAAGAAGCGAAAAAAAAAAAAATATCATTGACCTTTATTATGACGCTTTCACGGACCGCGCGCATAGGTCGGTATATATTAAACATCAGGTGCTTTATTTTTATTCTTTATTCTGGAATATCAAGATGTCACATTTTCTCTCGGCTTAAACGTTTTCTCAAAACGATTTCTTTTGTAATGAATACCTATAATAATAATACTGGTTTGGTTACATTAGAAAAAAAAAAATAAATATACTTTACCGAAAATTATCGGGGGACCAACGAAAAAAAAAAAACCGCAACCAAATAAAGAAAATACAGAACATTAACATAATACTATATAGTGTACCTGCCGTCTATGTTCCGTATACTTTTAAAATGTACGCGCACGTGTTATATTATTAAATGCCGTATAAACGTAATAATATTATAATACAATATTATGTGTATGGCAAATCGACAAGACCGTAGTAAAGTACTCTGTACGCTTTATTTTATCTCCGCGGTCTATCTGCGGTACATATCGTACATAATATTATTATTATTATTGTATACCTATAGTGTTTATTTGACAGTGTCAACACGACAACAACGCGTATACCGCGAATCGTAAATCATCGCAGTTTGAGCGTATTATTACACTGCCGTCTACGTCTACCCCCGGTATATAACAACATTATGATACTCGGCTATATTAGCATCGTGTTCGAAGTAGAAAAAAAAAAAAATGATTTCGGGTCTGGCCGCCAAAAATGTTCCCGCCAAATCAATCTGCGACGTCCGTACGTGATTTTTATCTGTAATAAGCTGTATATCATACCTATTATAAAATGTATACACGGGTACACAATAATACAATACCTACTATGAGTATTATAATAATATTATTACAGTGTATCTGCACGACGTAACAATATTATTATTTATAATAAAATATATTTCGCATGTAACGCGGACAATATTATATTATCGGATACCTAAACGTTTTCAGTTACACCTTAGGCGTGGCCCGCGTGTAAAGGTCTTGCGGTGTGTGCAATATATTTAAATAATAATATCGAGTTTGTTCGCCGTCGTATACTATAATAATAATATTATTGCAGTACACTCTCGTAGCGACGTGTTGGACTACACGATATTCCGTAATTTTCTCGTTTTTCTGTCGTATTGCGCAACATTATTTTCGTGTACCGCAGACACCGAAACCATCTTCACCGGCGTGTGTGCCGCCCACGAAATTGTCGACCCACTACACGAAATATGTGTGTGTGTGTGGGGGGGGAGGGTACCTATACTCGCGTATAAAATATGTAATATAATATATTATAGCGTTTTTACCATACGACGCCGTCATATGTATAGTAACAATAAACAACAATAGGTATAGGTGACTCCAAACCGGTGGGTGAACGTAACATTTTCAGCTCATAAATGTACTTTTCCGAATAAATTGTATTCGATTTACCTTAATAATCTCGTGACCCGTAAAACAATTTGTTTTACGTATATTTAAATTTGTAGAGTTGATAGATTTTCATAGCCAAAAAACCCTCTGGGAGGTCGTAGCTTTTTATACACTACTTACCTGGCACATTTATATTATTTATAAAAAGTGTGCTCTAAAATATTAAATTATAATTATAAATTAAACTATATTAAATATAGGTAAAAGTTTAAACAATTTTACTTATATAAAACAATTTAAAATTAATACCATGTACTAGTAAGAGTGAGATCATTAATTGATTGTTACTTGCATTGATTTGTTATTTCTAAAATCAAAACTAATATACACAATATTAAATTTGGTACACACATTTTGGAATTCAGTAGACACACTTCGATTTTCAGGGGACACATTATTTTAGGCCATGGCATATACCGCGTGAGTTGAAATTATATTTTTTATGTAATAGTATACATTATTTTAAACACGTCTGCGAAGTTGGCGATTACTATAATAGGACCTTACGTAAGGGCTAAGGAAAAACGTTGAAAGCTTCCTAGTGCCTATAAAATTGACTTGCGAATTACGAGAATGTACTTGAAAGTTCTTACTAATTCTTACCTATGCTAAATGTTGTGACACTAATATGGGATTTCTAGGATTCCATGTAAGGGCTTTTCTTCTTTTCAACTCCTGATAATATTTTCGTTTTTGACTTGCGTATTCCGGCCGAAATGGACTTGCAAATTTTTGTAAATTACTTGCGAAATACTAAAATAATCCTAAACTAATTATGAAAAAGTGTAAGGATCAATATTTTACTGACATATTTTATACTTACCTACCCATAATAAATACGTATACATCATCACTAGAGCTAGGATGTTTATGACTGCATATTTTTTCAGCGAAATCAGAATTATACTCGAATATGATATAAATTCCATTCATGAAATCTAGATTTTAAACAATTTCAAATATAATATTAAAATTGTGTACGGTAACTATTAACCAAAGTATTTTACCTATATGTAACATTTAAATTTTTGAATTATTTAATTTTTTTATTTTGAATTAATATTAACACCTTTTTTGTATATATCTGTTGAAAAATAGATATATTTAATACATTTTAAGGCATATAGTTGCATATTTTGAAATTTTTAAATGCATATTTTAAAGAAATGTTGGTCATTAACATGCGAGCTTTATTCATCACAATGTTGCATTGGTCGACATTTATTTTTATTTAAGTTGGAAAATAAATTTTTCACTATATTAGTATTATATTTAAACTCATCATGACGTTTATGTATTTTGTTCTCATTACAGACGTAAGTGCGAAGTGGTTCGAGATGTGGACGGAATGGAACCTAAGGATCTCACTACTCTCACTGCATCAAGATCTCTGTATACAAACGCACAGATTAAAATCAGGTATATATTTTTTATAGTAATAATGTAGGTAAATCGGTTATTATTTTATATTTGAATAATAATATAGATACACATGCCTAAGTGCTTCGATAATTAATTCGATGATGCGTTATTTTTTTTTTATAGTTGAATTTATTCCTGCAACAGTATAATAATTATCAATTATTGTGACATCGTATTGCGCATGATATCCAATAGATATTTATATTTATATAATCACATACATGAAATTAAAAATATTATTACAAAACCGCGTTTAAATATATTATGATAGAATAAACTTCAAAAGTTCAAAATAATAAAATGCAATAACGATGTGCTATAATTTAAACAAGAAAATTAAAATTCTCATTCTAATTTTAATTTTGATTAGAGATGAGACGGTTCCGGTTCTTAGTTTTTTGTTTCCATTGGTTTTCTAGGAACCAAAGGTACTGTTAATTATCGGTTCTACCATGATTATTTATCGGTACTGGTTATAATTTTTTTTTGGTTCAGGATTTAGTAACTTGTTTTTTTTTTTTTTAATTCTAAATGGAGCGAGGAATATATTTGTTTTACAATAGTGTTTTTTATTTTTTTTTTTTTTCTGTGAACAACATTTCTACCAGAAATTTTGCCAGAAACAGTGGCCCACCCTTCGTGCGAAGTATGTCTGTATCTTTTTTTTTATACATTTAAGTTGTTGTTAAATTACACATTATTGCTATTTTACCAGTCCGAACCCTATGTTAAGGTCTTGACTCGGCCTCTTTTAAAAAGTAGCCGTAATAGAGCTTTTTAAAGAACATTTTGGATCAATGTTTGGTTGCCAAACTGAATGAATATTTCATTATAGAAACAAAAAACTACGCTAACTATAATTTTGGACACAAATGGGATATGTTTAGTTTTTGAAGCTTCTTGTAATGTATTTCGCCCGACTAAATTTTTAGAAATTTGGCGCCACTTCGCTACTTCAGAGACTATAGTGTATCAGTTATCAATATAATACTGATAACTGAATGTTGATGATGATTTATTGATAAAATGATGTGAATATATCCGTATCTTTTGAATATAATGATTCGTTCTAATTTGTGTTCCTATTTCTTTGGATAATGGGTATAAAAAATAATATTAATGAACAATTCTAAAATAAATCTATCTTAGAAGGTACTGTTAGTAAGTTAGTCCTTTATTTAAGTCTTTAAGGAAAAATCGGTACCGATAATTTTTCAGGAACCTGCGTGTTCTTAATTTTGATTATACAATTATTCCGATAGATAATATTATATAATATTATTTATTTGAAGACTGCGTAAAATTAAATATTTTTAATCCATACAAAATTAACAGTAAAGTTTAAGCTCCAACTCCCGTCTTCTAATTCAATGATTCTAATTCTGATTTAAAAAAGAAACAAATACTGTAAACCTATTATTATTATGATTATGATATAATATAAAATCTACAATAAAACTATTTACTTATTGACAGGACGATAGAGTAGATACGTAATAGTTCAATGAGTTTTGTTTAAAATTTCTCAGTGAGCAAGAAATTTCGGTAAGGGGGCCGAGACATACGGTTCGGGTGGGGTAGTATTTAGAAGTGGCTATATACTGTGTAAAATATCTTATCGGAACAGTTTTTGGTACAACTAGCACACATTACTATTTGCTGTTGTATTTGATGACATTAAAAATAATTATAATAATGATACTATTTTTGTTAGATTTTCTTTATCCAAGGGCGACTGCTGGAGTGGACGTGTTAGGAGTGATTTCGTCCCTTGAAATTTCTTTTTTTATCTATACTGCAGTTATCAATGTTTAGTGTTTCGGGTCGATGATGGTCATAAATCAAATATAATATTAATATTAATCAGCCGTGTCTTTTCAGTTTTTGATAAGGATAATCGGTATGGACGAAGGGGGAGGGGGTAAAAAGATTTAATTTCTGAAAAAAAAAAAATAATAATCATTTAAACAAAACATTGGCTGAATGCTGTAAAAAGGTATTTTACCGGTCCGGTACACGGTAAAGATACTGCATGCAACATTTAAAAAATAACGGAGCTCGTGTACGATATTTGTTACCGTACCGGAGTTGTTTCACGTAACAATGTGATCCGGTAACACCGTACCGGTATGACTTGCTCCTTATAAAAACACAATATCACGCAGTGGCGTACCGTGTACATACCTATTATACTTAACTATCATACTCATACTGAAATAATTAAACGTTTTTAAATTATAAATATATGTAATAGCGTAGCCAGGATTGCTCACTTTTAAAGGAGGGGACAAAATAAAATACAAACTCAAAATTACATGTTTTATCGTTGTATTCTTAAATTATATTTTAAAATAATATACTATACTTACCTGGTTAAATCAATTAAATATGAAAATAAACGGCATATAGGCATAATGGACATAATGTAACATAAATATGGAACGGTTATAGAAAAAATATTTATATATTTTTTAAATACGGTCAATCGGGGGAAGGTATGGCTTTCTCGTTGCATTCGGTTACGCCACTGAGCACCTAAAATGTTCGATTTCAAAGTAATAAATGCTTTAAATCTAAAATTGTATTTGTATTGTATTTAATGTGTTCATTTTTTCAACGCATTCGGCGTGTATATTGTACGAAACTCGATTTATATTAAAAATCACTGGAATGTGTTTTACGTGTACGAATAAATCAATTCCTGTCACTGTAATGCACGTCTATAAGTATATAATTTTAAACCGATTGGATTCATATTATTCGTATTATGCTTTGGGTATACGATGGACTATTATTTTTTTTTTTTTATAGGTACTGATTGTTAAAACAACAATTCCGGTTACTTTCTCGTAATATAAACATAATATTTTATGATTTGTTTTTCTTTTCCGAATTCTGTTTTATATGTACATATATATTATTGTAATATCGGGTGTTTTGATTTTCGTGTTTTACTCGCAGCAATTCACCAGCCACATCGCCTACCGTATCGCACAACAGCAATTCACCGTCGCCAACACCGGTAGTGCCGACTACCGGTTATAACCACAAAATCATCGCCGGCATACCGTGTGTGGCCGCCGCGTCCAAGTACACGGCTCCCGTCCACATAGATGTCGGCGGCACCATATACACGTCCTCGCTGGACACCCTGACCAAGTTAGTATAATACCGTAATAATAAATACGTAAATACAGAGTCATAATATATTATGCAAGTGTAAATCGGGGTTAATTGCCACCCCTCTATTTCAATACGTATGTAGGTACCTAAAATAGTTATATTTGGTGTATTTGCGTAAGGTCACGGAACACATCACGGACACGATGGGAAATAACTGCCAATCGAAGAGTGGGATGCAGTTTCCTTATTATTATTTCATTTTTTTTTTCGGTTTAGCTAACGATCGCGGTCCTTTCAGCACCGGGCACGTCGTCGTGTCCATCGCCTTTGGCGTTACACGAACGCGCCACGCTTCACTAGTCTCTCTCGCATAAGAGTCGTGCGATACCGTGTCCCGACCATATTATACACACACACACACATACATATACGTGGGCTAAAGCATTTGTTATTTTTATTTTTTTTTTAAATATTACTGCCATGTATATATTGTATACATAATGTCGGCCGCATATACGTATATATTACGATAATATATAGGAATTTTACTTCATGTGCATTTCGCCGTACTACACGTTCACAATTCGATAAATACGAATGCGTATATAGCATTGTTTGCAATACCTTTTGTTATAATCTATAAAAACGTCATACGCATACAAATGTTAATATATTATTATGACCTAACGTGTACCGATATTCATTAAAAATTATGGAAAGTTACGCTTTTTTTATCATCTAAACTCTAAAGTAGGTACCTATATATTAGCCGCTATAGCGATATTTCATGTTGCCATATTAGCCTCGATATATTTCGAACCGATCCGTTCATCTTTATGTAACGTAAACGCATTATATTATCATAAGTAAATTAATTATTTCTCGCTGAAAATACTACTAATAGTATACTATATATTATAATATTATTACAAACAATCGGATTTCAGGAATCCCGATTCAAAACTGGCGAAATTGTTCAACGGTAGTATACCCATAGTGTTGGATTCTCTCAAACAACACTATTTCATCGACAGGGACGGCAAAATGTTCAGGCATATTCTCAATTTTATGAGGAATTCGAAACTTTCGTTGCCCGATAACTTTACCGATATTGACCTGTTGTTGGAAGAAGCTAGATACTTCGAAATTACCCGTAAGTATATACCTATATACACTATACACACAAAAATATTATTATATCCGTTGTCCAAACCGTACGAATAATACGGTAAATACAATATTTTCGTTAACAAACCTATAAGTTAATAATAATAATAATATGTAGGTAATAAAAACGTATCAACAACGTGTGTTATACCTACTGACTTAATGAGATAATTGGGTACCGCTCGAAACGTCTGTGTTGTGCATTCAATGTACTATTATAACGATAATGCCTACACGCCGTTGTCTGGGGACAAGGTTAAAAACGTAAATTTTCTGATAGAGTTGAAGGATTTTATGCCTTGTATTGCTAAACAGTCCTGATACAGCCCCCCGGGTACATATATATACAATACTTCTCACCATAGTCGGTTTGAGGTACTATAGATATATTGTCTTATTTACATCCGTTTTTGTACCATTATCATTATTGTTATTATTATTATTCATAAAATTCGTGCGATATGGGCTTGAAACATGGACATCATTAGTTACGTATTAAATTATTGTGTAACAAAACATTATAATCATTCGTGATTCACGCAAGTTCGGTCTTATAACATTGATATTGTGAAAATGTTCGAAGATCAAAATAATTTTGCGCCAGTATAATTTATGGGATTTATATCGGAGATAATAGTTTATAGATAATTTAGTGAAAATAAGGAAAATTAACGATTGTGTAATATTATGTTCAATATATTATTATTATGCTAAATAAATTAAAAAATATCATTTTACAAAGTAGATACCTTTTTTTTATTCAAAGATGGCTGTGCAGATAAAACGAATGCGTCACAATTTTAACTCCGGATGTAAACTTAAACAATATTATTGACCCTATGAAGTATACTCGCATCTTCTACCCAGTCTTCTAGTTCATACATTATTGATCTGAGTATTTTTTTTTTTTTTTCATAGGCCCTCTAGAGAATTACGTATTTTGTATTACAATAGGTTTGAAATCTAAAATAACTACACGAGTTATATATACAGCTGAGTATACGATAAGCGGCAGAGTAAACGCCTACAATGTTTATTGCAATATTGCCTATTTTATTGTATTGTACTTTTTATGTATTTTTTCCATGAATTAAAATATGTTATTATGTAAATAGATAACATTTTGTGGGCCCCCACGCGAACTCGTGGGCCCATTATCTCGTGAAAAAAATAACAAATACATAATTCAAAACAAATATTCACATTAATCGATTTTATCAGATAGGCACTCAAAGATAAAAAGAACAATGCAAATTTCGGGTTGAAATTCTTATAAATTGCAATTGAAACAAACCTGTACGTAAAAGATATTGGTAAAGTCGAAGTTTCGCTAATACGGTACGCGGTGTATAATATGATAAAACATTAAAAACGCGATAAAATCCTGTGTTTTGGAGTTTTACGTAGGTGCATACTATTATATTACCACGTACATTGTAGTGTATACAAATGCGCGAACCACGAATTGGCCGATTACAATTATTATATACAGGACTGGATAAAGGAGGGGGCTTAGAAGGGCTATAGCCCCGAGCCGTAAGTTAAAAAAGGCCACACAATGTGTGTTTTTGTTGTTGACCTTTTTTTGTTTATTTATACGAATCTTTTTCTGATGACTTTTTTTTTTCTTATCGGTCTTTAGCCCCGGGCTCCCATAACCCTAAATCCGGCTCCGATTATATTTTATTACAATATGGTATTTTCAGTCCGTTGGATGTATTTATATTATGTTTTAGCCATGTGTAAACAACTGGAAAACCTGAAACGGGACCGGATGAAATGTAACCGGACGAACGGCTGGGACTCAAACGGCTCGAGCCGGTCCAACAGCAGCCTTTCGGTCACCAAGGACCAGTACGAGTGCGTGTCCGTGCACGTGAGCCCGGACCTCGGGGAGCGCGTTATGTTATCCGGCGATCACGCGGTCCTGGACGAGGTGTTCCCGGAGACGGGTCACTCGGCGCTGGAACCGTCGGCCGGACGTCCGGCGGTGTCCTGGACGCCCGTGGACTCGAGGCATTTGGTCCGGTTCCCGTTGAACGGATATTGCAAGCTGAACAGCGTGCAGGCCATCACCCGGTTACTGAACGCCGGTTTCACCGTGGCGGCGAGCACGGGCGGCGGCGTACACGGCCAACAGTTTTCCGAATACCTGTTCATCCGCAAATTATTATCTAATTGACACTGTTCGTTCGGCAACCACAACACCGTAATATTGTTGGGTAATAAAAATATAAATGTATAATAATAATCAATAATAAATCGTAAATAATAAATGATTTCGTGTTACCTACCCTTAAAGTATATAATATATTATATTTATTGACGGAATTATAGTTGTATAATTATATGATATTATAGATTATGTTAATAATTTTATTATTATTATTATTATTATTTTTTTTTTTTTTTTAAGGCTGGTTTTTTATCTGTTAAAAATAAATGAATTAAGTCCACTTCGACCGTTTGGTAATATTATTATTATTATATTGATATAATATGTAATCACGTGTGTATAATAATATGCTCGTTTTGTATATAATATTATATGTGTATAAAATTATTGTATTTTAAAATATATATTATATTTTATTCCGTGTTAGGTGTGAATATATTACGTAATAAACGTAATAGTACATTGCGTATTCTAATATCGTACCCGTCCACGTACAATATTATTATTATATTATAATATATTCTATATTTACTTAACGAAATGAAATATCCGTTGAGAAAAAAAAAACGAGGTCACCGTGTCATGACATCTTCCTATATGTAAACGTATTATTATGGATACTTTACACTCTTATTCCTGATATCCGGTAATATTATGCTTCCAGATAGGTTACGAGTAAGTAGAATAAGTACGTACGCCAGAAAATCTAAAAAATTTCACTATTTCATAAAACTTTGAGCTCGAAGCGCGTCCTGTTATAATTAGAGTTCAAATTTTAAGGGCCTTATTTTTAGACGTATTGGAACGAATTAGCGACCGGCAGTCCTTAACTTAAAAACGAAATTTTCTTTCAATATAAATAACGGGCACCCTAAATACCTATATATTACTTTTTTTTTTTTTTTTACATGCAGTCTTCAACAACTTCATTGCATTTCATTGTTGTCGGTCCGTACGCCCGTAAAATACAAATTTAATCATAACGTAACGGAGTTTCTATAAAAAGTGAATTAAATATTATAATAATACCGCCGGTGTATTTCTTTAAAAAGCTACTCGTGATATCTATATATACTCGTCGAGTATGTGCGTACTATAAATATTTTGTTTCGCTCGAGTATAATACAATAAATAAATTATTATTATTATATATATTATGTATACGTTTACGTTATGACCTATTCCATTGGGTTTCTTTCTGGTAAAATGTTAAATAATATAATATATAGGTATAGGTACCTGTAAAAGTGCACACGGGGAAGGCAGGAAATATTTTTTAAAAAAAAATGTTAGGTATGTGTTATATAACTAACGCACCCTTAATTTTGTGCATTTGAGGGGCATTTGGAAGATGTTGTAGACCCTCCTCCTAAAAAAAATTAAAAATAAAATCATCCAGTAAATACTAAGTATATACAATCAATTTAATTGGGGTTTTTACCACTCCCCCTTCTAAAAAAATTTAAATATTTGGACTTTTTGTGCATATGATTTTTGTGTAAGGTTTGATTTAAAATACAGTCGCCTCCCCTGCCAAGAGGACCTGCGTACACTGATGCAGGTATCCATAGTACCATTATATACTGCAGTACCGCACCAATATTTTTTGGTACAAAAAATTATATCTGAACGCAACGATAAATCATCATTGCTAATGAAAAAATTATAATATTTTGCGCCAAATTCGGTTAAACATATATTTTTATGATTTTAAATGACGTGGTGGTGATTATGGTTTCCATAAAAATATTGAATTTTTAACGCTTATAAACAATGGCACATTTAGTGGGGGACAAGGAGGTCTGAATCCCCCTTCCCAAAAAGTCTGTCTTCACTACATTTTTGAAATTGAGTTTTATATTCAGCACCATAAAATCTTATTTTATATCATAGAATAAAATAGTATATTATATGTTACATATCATACACATGTATACAAATAGAGTTTACATATAGTATATTATTTGTTTAAAGTTAAAATTAAAATGGAATTTTTTTTTTTGCAAATTTAAAAATATTTACGATTTCGGATTAACATCGTCTACATTTGAATATCGATTATTTATAGGTATTCAAAAGACCTATAGTAATATAATTTTTTTTTTTTGTTTTTGTCTTTAATTTTTACCGCAGACGCGCTACCGCTTGGAATAAATTATTTATATATTATGTTTGATGTTCCGCGTATATAGAGTTGGACGTAGTTTATCGAACAAAATGATAATAAAATGTTTGTGCAGCTATTGAAAGCATAAACGAGAACACGCGTTATACACACATCACTTATTATTCATGCGGTGTGTAATATGAGTTGTACTCATGTACCCTGCAGTGGATCGGAATTTGTGTGTGCCAACTCATACAGGGTGAAATACAAATTTACCACCAGAAAGTCACCACCTATGTGGTCAACCACACGTGCGTATTATAACTACACAGCGTATCTACAAGAATTAGTAATGGATTACCCGTTTATTTATTATAGCCTTGTATCTAGATTCTGGAGTTTCGTTAGAGAAAAAATTATACAATATGTAGTACTAAAGAAAACGACGTTTTAAAGACAGTTATCTAAACCACCACTGACGATTCTTGTTTTTTTTTTTTTTTTAAAAATATAAATTATCAAAAAGTATCAAAAAAAAAAAAACGTTATACGATATTTTGTATACCAAACTTCAAGTTATAGAGTAATGTAAATCTCCAAGAGGGCGAAATATTTACATTTAGGTACGAATTGTAAAAATAACCGAATTTAAAGGCGTTTTCGTTTAGTTTACGATAACACGCTTTTGCTTTACAAACTGATTACCGGTTAAAAAAACAAATGCGAAAATTGCTACTGTATATCGATTATATAACCTACTATAATTTCCAATATTATTATGGCGTTTAGATTTTTGTAAAATAAAAAAAATTAACGGTTAATATATTTTAAGGATCGTTTAAATTATTATTAATTTCAAAGAGTAATGTTAACTGTACAGATATATTAAATAATATTAATCGAAATATTTTCCCGCGTGATTCATTTTCTACGATGCCTGAAGGCATTTACAAACTCCACAAGGCTCACTGAGGCCATTCGGCAGCGTCCGTATACCATGCATATTATAATTATTACAATAAAACGAAATTCAATGCATCTATATTAAAATGCGGTTTATACCATACGGTAGTAAAACGCTGTATTTTCTGCACGTTACGATAATAAATGAACATTATCACGACTGTGTTTTTAATGTATTAAAACGCATAATGTTCACGGAAACTTATAAAAGCCGAATAATATGCAAAGTCAATTATGATACCTATAGTGACCATAGGTGTGCGCAGACTTTAATAACAGGGGGGGGGCAAACATTTTGTTTTGTCAACATCATTAGCACATATCAAAGATTCGTGGTAAATTGTTATCGTATTTATAACAGCCACGACAATCGAACATGACTACCCTAATGACTAAACATTTAAAAAACAATCTGTTCTAAAATTCTTTAATTTTTGTAATTTTTGTTTGAATTCAAATTGTAATCTAAACGTCATAATTTATATGAATTATAAAAGAAAAAGCGTTTTATGGCCTTTTATTTGTATACATACTATATATTGTATATTATATATAGTATGCAATATATAAAGATTTTGAACAAAAATTATAGTATTGAAACCGTTAATGCTCGTAACTCATACATACAGAGGACAACGGAATAAAAATACGACATGTGCGACGTGTGTACTGTGTATATATAGGTGCCTACATGCATGAAAAAAAAAATAGACCGGTTATTCGCACTGTTGTACGTATATAGTATCTTATCAGATGATAGACATTATTGAATACAATATTATTATTGTAACCTGTATATTTAAGTAGGTAAGTAAATATTAAAAGAATATTTTAACACATACTAGTTTTAATTAAAGCTATACCAATACAAAACACTGAAAATTACGAACAAGTCAATAGTCATTTCATTTAGACATTTAGTATTATGTAAAGTATATATTTTATTTCGTGTATTGAGACGATTAAAATAATGATAAATCATAAAAATATTAAAAAAATACTTAAATAATGTAGTATTTCCTGTTCAAAATTGTATAATGTATTTAACTATACAAATATAATAATAATAAAAAAAAAAAAAATGAGAAATAGTACCCTATAATAATATAACTAAATAAAGTAATTTAATTTATATCGGTACGCAATGATAAATCATTGCAGATGAAATACGATTCTGAACAAAGTTCGTTTAAAGGTATTTTGAAATGCCGTCATTTTTATCAGTTTCGTAAAAATTTAAAATTAAAAAAAAAAATCAATTTCAGGGAAATTACTATACCCCCTGAACGAAAAAGAAAAATTAATTTTTGGGAAAAATTTGATACTTGCTAAAAATGAAACACTATTTTGGGGAAATGAATACTAACTCGTATAACATCATCTCGGAATATCACACATCCAAAAAAAACAATCCTAGTTTAAAAAAAAAAAACTAGTTAAATTACTATTGTTAAATTACTGGTCAAATTATCATATTCCATGGTTTAAATATTTTCATTCAAAGGCTAAAGGTACAACCGGTCAAAAAGATATTTTACAAACGTGAAAAAAGTGCACCACCAAATCTACCTATATTTAGTAAAAAAATGATGTGTGAACGTATATAATAAACAAAAATATCATTGAACTCACACATTATAATATTATATTATGTATACAGTGTTAAAATGATAATTGCATAATAATCAATATTGATCAATCGTATAATTTATACCATTACTAAAATAATTATCTACATACTTGTGTTATGCGCGGGATAGACTATACTACTATATAATACTAATGTATAACCGTATAGGTACTAATAAAATTTTCAGTATATCCATGTCACACTGTATAATCACTAAAACCGATCGTCATGGAACAAATATTAAAATATTCGAATTACGCAACCAATAATATATACGACTATCGTATGACTTAAAAAAAAAATCGA